TGTGGCTCTTAAGGACGTGGTTTAGTGGTGAACTTGGCAGTGTTAGGTTTGCAGCTGGACTTGATCTCAGAGGTCTTTTCCAACCTAAATGATTCTGTGATTGTAACAGGACAGGAGAGAGCCTCATCACCTTGAGTTTGTGCTTCCAAGTTTGTGCTTTCATGCTGCCTTCTTCCAGAGGCTCTGGATATTAGCTAATGACACCGATTAGGTATCACCTCAAGGCAGCCACCGGCCTGAGCTCCCAGGCTGCCTGTTTGCCATGATGGGCTCTCAGGAAAAGTAAGACAAGCCCATGAGAAAAGCAAAGCCTCCTCCCAGCCCCAAGCAGTGGAAGCCCCAACCTCCTTCTTGAATGTCTGGGTATGAGTGCCCAGGACCCAGGAATGTGGCTGCACCTGTGGAGAGACTGTGCTCCTGTGGCTCCAGGGCATGAGAGATGCTCTGAAAGACCATATCATATAGAAGACAAAACACTGACCTTTTTCACAGGGGCTTTCAATTCAGTCATACAAGGCCTTGCTCATACAGGGGCCAACTAAGCTTCTTATGAGAAATGAGCAAACCTTTCAGCTGCTGAGGAGGTTTTGCAAGGATTTCAGAAGTCATTTGGGTTGATTCACATTTGACTTTGAGATGCCTAGGAGATGCTGACTGTTTGGAAAGGGCTAATATTTGTCCCCTAGAGACCTCTATCCTTTAGCACCAGGGAGTTCAAATCACCAGTGACGTCTGAAGCACAGTTTAGCACCAGCATCAAGGTTTGAAACAATCCCCTCTGGCAAAGACTGCCAGCACCTGACCTAATGAAGTAACCTGGTTAGCCAAGCTCAGTCAAAAGCTGCTGTTTCTTCCAGAAAACAAAACAAACCACATGCCTCAGTTTCCCTTTTCACAATACACAGGTGATCACACTGCAGAGCAGCCATGACCAGTGCAATGGAAGTCCCAAATAATGTCTCTCTGCTGCTTAGACCATGGTGGCTATAGCAGTGTTAAAATAAGACTTGGATGTTTCTGTTCAATAATGATTGGATGTAGTTGGTTGGTAACTGATTTTTCATGTTTTCTGCGTGCAATGACTGAGAAGTTGTTTATTGAACCTGTCCTTGAGTTACAGTCATAAGGGGAAGAGCTCACATTTCTCCAGGCATTTCACAAGTATGCTTAGATAAAAAGAGAGTTGAAGCCATCCTTTCACTTAAGAAATCTCTTTATGGTGCCATAAAGCTGAGCAGGATCTGTGCTTGGGGATGGTAGGCAGAACCCTGTTAACTGGAGGGATCCTGATTCACCCCTGCTCAAGAGCCCATCGGTTGGCTGAGTCGTCACTGTATTCAGAACCCACTTGGACACTTCAGGCTTTATGCTTTCTAAAATAGAGCAATAAAGCAATTAGAAATAGATAACAGAAGGAGAGAGCACTTCACCAAAGAAAGCAAAAGAATATAGTGTGGCATAATTAATACAGAGCTGGCAGTAGCGAAAATGAGCTGTGAGAACCACACTGGCCCCGGGAGGTGGCTGCAGGCTGAGCTCCAGATGTCCAGTGCTCAAATGGCCGAGAAGTTCCTTGTGCCACCCCGCACAATTTGACCCAAGAATGCCCAACTTTGGGACAGAGGGAAATAAAAGCATCCTTCAGAGCTGGGAGAACATACGTGTTCCTGCCAGTCCTTCACTGTGTGTCAGCCAGAGAATTTATCTAGCTGAAATCATGCTCCCACTTAAAAAAAAAAAGAAAGGGAGTTAGTGTAACCAGAAAGGCAGGTGCTTTTTTAGGGGAAAATCCAAGAATGTCCTAAGTGAAGGACTGGGTTAAAAATAACAGGGAGTCTGCTGTGCCAGGGAAAGAATGAGTGGGGTTAGAGACAGCTCCTTCCCTGTGCAACCTCTCCTATCTCCTTCTTGAGTGTTATTCATTTAATTTGTCTTGTTACAGTGTCTGGAAGCACCAGGTGGAAATCAGGGCCTCAATTATGCTGGGAATTGGGCACAAACATAATGATTAAATGTTGCCAGCTCTGCAGAGATTGAAATATAATTCCTCATCCCTGCAGCATCACTAACCAGCATAATTATTGCCAAATAAGTTTTTCTGCAATTACTCTTCTGGAATATCTGTGCTACTTGATTTCTTTCAAAATAACCATGCCTGAGGGAAGTGAAAAGATATATTTGTACAAGGTCCAACCTGGTAACCTTCACAGATAACAATAACTGGTCAAAGGCAGAAAATTCTTGCTGCATTTAAATCCATGTTCAGGAATTATTTGCTTGTATCTTGGTTTTCCTTTCTATAAAGCAGCAACAGTCACACTGCACTCAGAGCTCGCTCTCGTCATCTAACACCCATGATCAGTGTAAGAGTCCTTAGAGCACTGACACCATCACATACAAGGGCTTGCTAGTGCTGATTGTAAAGATTAAGGATTAGCTGGAGAATAGATATTCTTTCTTGTGTGTTTTCTGGGACAGCGTTTGAATTACTGAAGGGTCCTTTTCTATTAGCATTTTTCTGTTAGTTATTAACTGTGTAAAAACCAAAATGCAGTGAAATAAGGACTTAAAAAAACTCCCACAAATAATCCAATCCTCAGCTGGCCACAGCATAAACAAGAAGTAGCACAGCAACCTGTCATTGAGGGGGTCTTCACACAATGACCAAATCCCTTTGGGATTCTGTCACACTTTGCTTTGCTGCTCAGAGGTCAGAGAGCAGCAGGATATACTGCCTGCATCTTTACAACTTCGAATACAGTTGTTTTCTGGATTCAACACAAGGAAATTCTTCTGCCCAAGCACAGTAAATTCTCCCCTGACCCTCAGAGCAAGTCCAGGTCAAACCAAGAAGACTGGAGTACAGTCCTGCCAGTCACCCACACCTCCCCCAGGGACTTGCACTGAAAGCAGCTCAGTAGCAACACCGGGGCACTGCCAGGTGTCTTAACCTGCCAGCACTTCCATTTGTGAGTCTTTAGCTCTACAGATTTTAACTGTTGTGTCCTATCCCTCACTCAGTAATTTGGCCTCAATTTTGGCAAACTGGAAGGCACTGGGAGAAGGGGCTGGGAGCTGCAATGCTGAAATAGAGTATCTACGCCACAGAGCTGAGCAGACCAGCCCTTCTTCCTTGCTCTCCCACCCCTTAGCACCAGCTCCAGCATCTCTGGCAAAAAGAAGGACCTAAACAATTGCCATGGGTTTTCCCTGCCTTTTCATACTTCATACAGCAGAGGGGACCAGTGTATGTTAAAACTGGACACTTCTTAATTTCCTCCAGACAGCCATCGCTCTGTTTGGTCCCACTCGGGAACCACAGCGCCTGGGAGCCCTGGCTTAGAGGAGGACCTTGTTCGGATGAAAGAATTAAAAAAAAAAAAATCACAATATCTCACTCATTCTGCTGGTGAATGAAAAGCAAACAAAAGGATTCCCAAAGACTGCATTTTAAAAAGCAAGTATGGAAAGACATATAAGCCCTGATGTGATTTTTAAAGCAGTCTTGGGACTTTTAGGGATCCCAGCTCAGAAGTTTTGGATAGCAACTACACGGGATCATGTACAAGTAACGTTTTTCCTGATTTCCTACTCTGCCTTTTAATTCTTCCTAGGGAAGAACAGGCGCTTTGCAGCTTGAAAGATTAAGCAGGCAGAAACAGCCCCCTGCTCTACCTGCAGCCTCGCGCTGGTTATTTTAAGTTTTGACCGGAGATTGACCCAGTTTAAGTGGGTGTGAAAGGTTACCTGAACATTCGTTTCGCTGTCTCTGGCAACAGGATTTCCCGCAGGCGTGTCTGTGTGACATGGTCTCGCAGTCCCCTCTGCTGGTGGCAGCTTGCTGGGGAGCTGCATCAGCCGGGACCGTGCAGTGCTTGTCCTCCATGGGCGCTGCAGGAGAGCCCCCGTGGCGTGGGGGAACCCCCAGCCCCACGCCCCCAGTGCCCGCTGAACAAGCACCAACTCCTCCAGAGACCAGGGAGCTTTCCCTTACTCTCTCTGCAGCTTAAGTATAAGCACCTGGCACCTCTTACACAGGACAGCAGCAGGAGAAAGGGTGAAAAACTTGACCATGGATAACCTTATGGAAACCCACCCTGCATGGGAAAGCTGAGGCATCCTGCTGACAGCAAATGATCTCCCTGCAGGGAATGTATGGCTTGAAGTGCTTGTTGAACTTATGACCAAATATCAGCTGCATCTGCCTGTGGCATGTTCCTGTGCCCCTACAATCCTGCCATCATGTGTCCATCCCACAGGCTCTGGCTCACACTCCCCACTGCTCTCAGCAGCATTGCAGGCCCAGGCACACCAACCCCTACAGCCTCTTCACTGGCTCTCACAGTGCAGTTGGGATCCGCTTTTGAAGTGACCAAGGCAATATTTCCCCGGGGAGGTACAAAATGATGTTCAGAAAGGGACTGTGCTGGTGGATTCTGGAGAACTGAACAGAGCCGGCAGCGCAGGGCAGGGTCTGCTCGCAGGGATATGGGGTCTGAGCGCAGTCCATGATGTCCAGCTGCACATGCTGAATAGGGCAAATCTTCCAGCAGAGAAGAAAAGTTTCATTCCTGGGTGCAAAGAACTGGTTTGTGAGGCTACTCCGGAGAAGGTCAGTTCTGACAGGCTAACACTGACCAGCAAGGGCAGCTGAGGCAGAGCTGGCACAGGGCAGCAGATCTTGATGTCTGGCTGTGAGCCAGCACCCCCCCAAGCAAGGCTGTCTGAGGAGGAAACCAAAGTGACAACACTGATAACAGCCCCTGCTCGTGGCCAGAGGCCCAGGGGCCCCACACAGGAAGGCAAGGGCTGGAGGAGCCAGCACTGAGCCCCACACTCCAGCCTGATTTATGGGATTGCCTTGCATGCACAAACCCCCCAGTGATGAAAAGCACTGCAAACCCCACACCTTGGGATAAGCGCGGGCACTGCCAAGGGATGTAGTAGAAAAACTAAAGGTTTATTTTTTTTTTTAACAAAATACATCCTTACAAAATAACCATTTTTCTCCCATGTTGAGGGACTGGGCATGGTTCCTGCCAGCTCTCCTTCCCTCTCCTTCTCCTCAATTTGAAGCTGTCCAAGGGTGCCGCTGGGGAGGGAGAGGCAGCAATGGTCTCCCCAGGGGCTTCAGGTGCGGGGTGGCCTGGCATGGTTTTGGAACACCAGGCAGGATGCTGTGGGAGCCCTTCAGAAGGGTCTGCAATGGCAGCAGAGCCCAGTGCCCTGCAGCAGGGCTGGCAGAGGGCCCCAAGGGTCCCTTAGTAGCCCACCCACGGCATCCCTGTGCCCCTCAGAGGCTGGATGCTGGGCCGGCCAGCCCCTGCCCTGGCTGCAGGGCACCACCTTCCCATGAGCCGGTGTTGGACACTGCTCCTGCTGGCCTTGGGGCTGGCACAGGCTGGTGACAGGGGATGGCGACCGTGTTTTAGGAGAGGAGGAGGAGGAAGAGGGTGCAGGTTTGTCGGTCAGTGTGGATTCTGCCAAGAGAGAGAGAGGTGCACAGTGATTTCTGCTGTCTTGCCCCCCATTACCCCTCTTTGAGCAATGCTGCCATTGAAGATGTGATGTCAATCCCACACCCCACACCCATTGTGCCCCCAGCAATTGCTTATGCTGGGAAACGCTGACTCCAGGTTAGACATCATTGTCCTCAGCTCAGATCTCCTCCATCCCTTCCCTGTAGCCCTCCTGCCTTCCCTGAAACCCTCCTGCCTTCCTGGGGGCCTTGGCATAGCCCTGAGACCCAAAGCCCTGCCCCCTGCCAGCCTTAGGCCAGCAGGGCTGGGGAAAAACCACTCACCTCTCACTGCGTGTTGTCCGGCTCCTTTTCCTTCTTATGTGACTTTGACTGGGGATTAAATGAGAGAAAACAGGATTCTTTTACAGACCTGCTCCTTTCTAATGCCAGGGAAAAATGTGGTTGGGCAGCAACTTCTAAACCCCAATGTATAAGCACATTTTCAGATGAATTTGAGGGGAGCTGTTTCTGTGTCCTATGAAAGACCATAAAACATTCCACGGTCATGGAGATGTTCTCAGAGAGTGGAGAAGGGGACATTTTCCAGTTTGCTAAAGCACTGGTCTGCCCCTGCTTCCCTTAAAGCAATGCAAGGGTTACCAGTTATCAGAATATCTGGGGTTAAAGGGAGAGAATAAAGCTATTAACAGTGAGTCACACAAGATCTCAGTAATTTTGGAGAGAAGATTCATGGATCCCAGTCTCCAACAGTCCCAAGGGCTCGGGAAGGCGCCTGGTTGCTCCTCAACATGGATGTTTGTGTTACAGCATCATTACTCATGCACACAGCCACACTCACACCCCCGCAAGAGCCTCGGCAGGGCAGGGACTCGCTGTTACTTACAGGCTCCTGTTCTGCGTATTTGAATTTCTTCTGCTTGTAATAGTCCCGTCCTTGGAGAAAATGCAACAGGAGCAGGTCACAGAGGACAGAGGCCTTAAATCAAAGCACAGTTAGGGTTGGAGCTGCCCTCCAAGCTCACCTGGACCGTTGTGTGCTTCCAGTTTGTCCCACAATTTAGGGTCACTTCTGCTTCAACCCACAATGTGGCAGTTGCTAAAGAGTGTACGGCCCCCAACTGTCCCTTTAGGACAGAAGTGAAGTGTGTTGGGATCAACACTGGGTGACTTAAGTCAACAGAAATGAAGTGTTTCCACTTTGGGTAAGTGCAGAGCACAACACCCTTGGGTTCATGCCCAATCTGTAACAACCATAACCCAACAGGATGCTGGTTTTCCATCCTGCATGAAATACTGCCCATCACCTCCAAAACTCCCTCAATGCCAGTTCTAACTTGAAACCATCAGGATACCAAGGCATGGCCCTGTCAGGAGAGCCAGCCTTCCCCTCATCGGCCAGCAGGAATCTATTTTCCTGAGCTAGTGAGGCAGGAGAGCACCTCCTTTCCCACTTTGCCCATCCTCTGGTTCCCTGAGCAGGAGCCAGTATTTCACTGCAGCTCAGGGACACTTCCCACGGATGTCACAGGCAAGAAGAATAATTTGAGAGTCTCCATATAGAGGCTGGAAATATCTGAACTTACCACTCCAAAAATACCAATTCCAGAGCCAATTGTGGTCATGGTTGGGATGATGTCAAATTTGCCTGCCTGAATAAAGTCAAAGAAAAGAGGTGATTAGTTACAGCCAGCCTGGGGGGGAAAAAAGGTGCTGTAGCTGTAGGTGGGGCTTGGCAAAAGCACCTTGCAGCAACCCAAACTTCAACCACAGCACAGAGAGAAACAGGAGCTGGGCCAGAGCTGGTCAAACAGAAAAATATTTTTGGTTTTAGGCTGAAATAAAATTAAGTTACTTTGCTTCCTGTATTTTTAATTTAAAAAAAAAAGTATACCCTGTAAATATTCCCAGTGGGAACACAACGAGGAAAGCCTTCTCTTCTACTGGGAAGAAAGAGACAAAATAGAAAAATGCAAAATGCCCAGCTTTTGGAAATATCAGTAAAAGGTTTTGACTTTCCACAGTTTTCCCCCCTGTCCAAAATCATGATGTTTTTTGGACAAAACCACTGATCAAACTGCAACTGATAGATGTGCCCTGTAAGATGGGCTTCTCCTCTTATATTCCATTCCCCGGGACTTCCCAAGGGTTCCTGTGGGTGGGCCAGCACCCAAGAAAACCCCTCACACTGGGTTTCCTGGCCCCATGGGACCCCAGTGCTGTGTTGCAGACCTGGTACCTTCTCAAGGACATGGCACTGCTCTCCTGGGGATCCAGGGGTGATCCTGGTGCCTGGCCACCCTTACCTTGCCATTCACCAAAATGTCGAACCGGATCCCAAACACCTTGTAGAGGGTCCTTTTTTCCATCCCATCTTCTTTGTAGTACTTGGCATATCTGTCCAATTGGATGCTGAATGTTAATGGCCTGCCAGGGTACCTAACAGCCCCCTGCAACCCAATAGCATGGGAATCTTGGTGGGACAAAGATCTGGGAATGTGCTATCACAGATATGTGATAATGTGCTCCTGACCTTCTCCTTAAACCCCTTGAAGGAGCCGGGCTGTTGGCACCTCTCCTCTCTGTGCCTCTGTTTCCCTGCCTGCAAGTTGGGGTTCCAGCTCCTGCTCGTGCTGTTTGACCTGATGTCCCCAAGTGCTGCATGACAGCAGATATTGGTGCAGCACAAGTGATTGTCTCACAGAGCAGAGGTTAGAGAGTGTTTTGAAGTGTGGGAACATGGGAGATGACCCTGCACCATCTCCAGGCTTTCAAAGGGCTTCCCAAGAGCTCAGCCGAGCAGGAGAGCCTGCAAGGGGGAGGAGATGTACAGGGAAAGGAAACGGGGTAATTTTGAGGCCAAGGGATGTGCTACCACTCTTCCCATGCTGTTTTAAAAAGAGCACTGCTGTCTGGCACTGCAAAGGTAGAGAGTATTTTGGAGAACAGTCCTTGACCTTCCACCATCCCCTGAGTGCTGTGGAAACCTGAGAGCTGTCACCTCTGAATTATGCTGGAGAAAACAGGTGTGTCTTTACCTGAAGTTGAAGCCCGGTGAAACGTTACTGTCATCATTGTAAAGGCCGTGGAACTGGTAAATGGGTTTGCAGTACCGGACAGGCCAGTCGAGGTCGCAGTTCCAGTCTATGGTGATGCCCACCACTCCACCCTGCAGCAGAGAGGGGAGTCACGAGGTTGCCCTGTGGACCTGGTCCACACAGAAAAATGCTTTCACTCCTCATACATGTCCTGTCTCAGTGCTGTGGGTTGTCCTGGCTCTCCAGGTACACAGACTTCACCACTGCCTCAGTCCTCCTGGACAGCCTCAGCTTTGTGCCCTTTCTGGAGGCTCTTGCTTCTGCCCCGAATGCTGGATACACAACTAGATTCAAGCCCTCTTTTTCCTGATCAGCACCCTGTGCCCCAGGCATGGTCCTGAGAAACAGTGCTCACTGCAGATCCCTCACGGTCCTTATGGGAACAGCTTTCCCTCTTCTGATTCTGCCCAGGGGATTGCTCAGGAAATGAAGTTCAGTCATGAGCTCACTCCAGGTTGTAACTAGCTGTGTCCCAGAGGCTCATAGTTGTGCACCTTTAGTATATAGAATTATAGAATGGTTTGTGTTGGAAGGGAAAGGTCCCACAAAGACCATCTGGTTCCAACCCCCTGCCATGGGCAGGGACACCTTCCACTATCCCAGGTTGCTCCAAGCCCAATCCAATCTGGCCTTGGAGAGTTCCAGGGATGGGGCAGCCACAATTTCTCTGGGTGCATGCATGTTCTAATATATGCAATATATGTTCATATATGCAAGCCTCTGGTTTTATTCAATGCCTGGCAAGGTTATCGTAAGGCTCTGCAGCCCAGGAATAGCAGATACTCTTGCACATCAGCCTGAGAAGTGCTGGGCAAAGCTGCATTTCAGAGCCTGGGGAGAGGCTGCAGTTTACACTGTGCAATGACCGATATTTGACCATCCAGCTGGGAGTTCCAAGCTCAATTGGATGGGATTTGGCCACACAGCTCTAGTTATTCATTGCACAAATTAAACCAAACTGAACCCTGGATTTACTGCCAGTAGGTCAAATCTTGTCAAGAGTTTCCAAGAAAGGCATAAATATTAGGCCACGTCCAAGGAGATTCATAATCTTTAACAGCTAATTCTGACACTTCTGTTTTCTCAAGAGTTCTTGAGATAACAGAAAATCATCTCAACAGCTGGGGATGATTGCTCTGCCAGTGTCTCCTTCCCCCTTTCAGCAAGAAACATCATTGGAAATTCAAGTACCTTAACAGCCAGGAAGGTAAAATTCTGACCCGATTCCTTCACTATGTATCCCAGTTCAAACACAGGGCACAAGGAATCGGTGGCTTTGTTGTAGGTGCATTTCTTCAGGTACTGTTTGGTAACACTCTCAACCAAGTTGCGCCTGTGAATGAAAAGAAAGTGAGAAAGAATCTGAATAATCCAATAATTTGGGTGGGAAAGGACCTCTGGAGATCCTTGTCCAACCAATGGCCCTCTCCTGTTCCCATGCCAGCTTGTCCGTGGGCTCTGCCAGGCAATTGCTCCATGCACCAACAATTCTCATCTGGGACAGCTCACCGATAGCAGCTTTTACATTTAGCTGGAGTTTGTTATCTCCTCCATAAAGGGTAAAAAGAAAAGGAAAACCTCTTGCCTTCCACCCTGCTCTGCTCTTTCACTTAAAAATAGCCTTCCTCTGAACCTCCCAGCCCCAGATGATTTTGTAAGACTTGCGTCTTGCTCAATCACGTCCCATCTTGGATGCTCAGCAGTTCATTGCTAGTGGTGATCAAAGGCAGGAAGTTCCCCATGACCCAGCCGGGTCTGGTGCAGCCCCTGCCACAGCAGCCAGTCCTCCCTCTGAGGATCAGCTCCCCTCACTGTGTCCTCTCCAGCCTGCCCTCGCTCAGGACACCCCTCCTTGCTGCTGGGGCGGGGGCTGTCCCCACTCCCAGCCACCTCTCTGGCAGCAGCATGAGCTCAGCCCAAGGCTTTTCCAAATGTCCTGGCTGCCAGGACATTTAACCCTGGGACACGATCAGCTTAGAGAGAAGAATCTGCCATCTTCAGCACAAATAGCTTCTGATAATTTGTTCCAAATCATGTATAATCAGTGCCATCACAAATCCTCTTACAAGTGCTCCTTCAGCCAGCAGCACTGTTCCCAGCACTGCCTGGAAGGAGCCGACTCCATAACCCATTGCAGAAACAGGTGGGAACTGTATTGTTAAGAGGGACTTCTCCTTTTTGGCACCAAGCTTGTCCTGGCTGCTCACACCACACTGTGCCACGTAGTTATTTAATGTCTTCTTCAGGGAAGAAAAGGAGGAGAAAAATGAAGAATCAGAGAAACTGTATTTTCGTGTGCATCATGTGAGGGTAACTCAGGAGAAGTTAATTCCAGAAACCTTCTTTCTGGTGAATACAGCCGGCAGCTGAGGTGGGACAGATTTGGGAGGGAAACGTCTCAGTTCCTATGAGCTAATCTGGGGATCAGTGCAGCAGTTAGAGTAGTCCTGGGCTCACTGCTGAGGGACACCATCCTTTGTATCAAGCATCCAGTCACACAGATGGTTTCCCCTGAGGGACACAGCTGGAGGAACCAAACAGAAACCATTCCCCCAAACCTCACCTTACCTGGATACCTTGAACTTGGGGAAGGTGATGCTGTTCTTGATGAACAAAGTGAACTTCTCTGCTTCTGACAACAGGGCAGGGCTGAAAAACACAAGTATTGACATCACTTGGCTCTCCAGTCTGCAGGGAAAGCCCATTTGGTGGAGATTCAGATTTAAACTGGGACAAGCAGGACCCAGAGAAATGGTGATCTTATCCCTTCCCTTTCTGGTGTTTCGAGACCCAGGCTGTCCTGGCCACGTCCCACAGAGCCTGGGCTTGCTCTGCCCCACATCAAGTGCTGCTGCTGCAGCTGGGGAGGGAAAGAGGGCAACAACAGGATTCCTCACCTGGGAACATGTTCATCAACTTCAACAGGGCACCAGCCAAAGATCTCACAGGTCTTCACCGAGCTGTTGAAGGGCACACACTTGCCTGTCATGAGCCCTGTGTGGAAGAGAAACAGCTGCTCACACCCCTGGATGCTGGGAAATCCCAGCCTCACACTGAGATGGATGAGATCTGGTTGGGGCTTCAGCTCTGCCACAGGTGTCCAAGGCACTAAATGCTCAGGGCTTTGGTGCCCCCTTGTAAAAAGAATAATTAATTGTGGCCTCTCAGCTTATGGCAGTGGTTTCTCTTGCACTGCTGTGCAGGGGAGCAGCTGGGCCTTTTTCATGCTAAAATACCTCTCAGAAAATGCCGAGCAAATAGAGGACAGCAGTTTGGGGGAAGTGGTTTAGTCTTGATTAACCTTTTGCTGGCAGAGCTTTTTGCAGCTCAGGTGTCTTTCAGAAGAGGAAAGCAGGACCAGCCTAGGTGGGACAGTCAGCCAGCATGTCAAAGGCTTTTCCCAAATCTTGTTAGCTGGTGGTCCAAAGCAGGTCCCCCACCAGAGAGCCCAGCCATGAGGTCCCCCTGCCAGATGCCCCACCCAGGCAGCTCTGCTCGGTGTCTCACCACAAGCCCCGGTGCCGGAGCCTCGGGGCCGTACCTTGTCCCTGCCGGCTGTATTTCCCTTTGCTGCAGTCGCTGTCCCGTGTGCAGAGCCCGGCATCTGGCAGCTGTTTGGAGAAAGCAGCCACCTCTCAGCATCCCACCCTGCAGCTTTGGTCCCTCTGTCCTTCCTCCCTCACCAGGCAACGTCTCCCTTGAGGGATGTGCTGCTCAGCTGGAGCCAGAACCTTGTCCATCCTTCCCAACCAAGGATGTTCAGATTAAACAGGAAAAAGGGAGGGGGATTTGTTTTTTCAACTTCAGGCAGATGCTTTTAAGTCTCGAGTCTGCTCTTCTAGGTCATCTCAGAGGGAAGAAAACTTAAATGGGTGCTGCCTGGTTTTCAGCAGAATAAAAGCCTTCATATAGAACACACAAGTCAGGAACAGTAATATGGGGCCAGACTCAGGGTTTTACTAAACCTCCCAAGGTCAGACAGAGCCCTTCCCTAGTACCACCACCCTGAATTACAGAAGCTGAGCCCACTGAAGGAATCTGGTGTGTTTACCTCTGGGCAGGTTCCTTGTTTCTGTCCAGGGGTGACAATGAAGTTGGTCATCACCACGAATGAGTTGTCCCCCTGTGGAGACACAGCCAACGAGCTCACAGCCTCTGTGAGGAGCCTGTCCCTGAGGCAAGGTGTAGGGCATCCAACCCACCAGGACGCATCCAGGCAGACAGCACCTTTCTCCCTAACTTTAGGTCCTCCACCCTCTCTGCTGCAGCTCAGGAAGCTGGTGGGGTCCCTGAGGACATGTAGTGCCACCAGCCCCAGGACAGTGGAGGACCCCCTTTGCTACCTGAGATGCTGGTCTGGAGGAGCCTTGGTCTTTTTCAGAGGCAGCCTCTAACATGCCCCATCCACCATGGTGGGTCCCAAGCACCAAATTCTCCCCAGGGGTGATATGTGGGCAGAGGTTTGTGGCAGGAGCAACCTGCTTTCCACCACAGGGACACCATGTCATGGGTAGCCCCACAGAAAGCCTACACTAAGGACCCACCTGCACCCCAGCACATGGGGAAAAGCAGCCACTGAGACAAAAGCAACTCACCCACCATCCTCCTTACCTGGGGTGGGAAAACATAGTCCACCACATCCCAGATGTGAGGGCCCATGACACTCTCGTTGGTCACCGTCAGCCCTTTCAGCTTCACCGAGACCGAGCTGACAATGCTGTCCTGAGACTGGTAACCCTTCTCGTAGAGGAACACCCACCTGGAGAGGGAAGTGGTAGGGTAAGCACAGCCACCAACACTCCTCCACAAAAACCCAGTTCCCAGCACAGTCCTGGGGACTGGGGCTTTTTCTGCCAAGTCTCACCTGGGGGGGGGGGTCATTTGCCAAATTTGCTCCAGCTGGTTGAGGGATGTGTTGCTGAACTTTCCCACCCTTTGCCCGAGGCATGTTGTAGCTGCAGGCCCTGACTGGGGTGATGTGCTCTGGGGACTGGGACATATTTTGTGGCTGAGAGTGTGTGAAGGCAGGTGGAGCAGGATGGCCATTGGAAATTTGGGATTAAAGCCTCGTGGGTTTGCAGCTTGCTGGGCTCAGTGACCTATCTGAACCCTCTTGATCCACTGCAAAGGCGCTCTCCAGAAGTCAATGCCTCCAAGGCCAACACAGAGCTGAGTCTGGACACGGCTCTCATCCAGGGCCACCATTCCCGATGCAGCAAAGGGAATGTGGAGCTGTGACCCTGTATGCAAGAGGGCTGCAGGAGCAGGGGTAGGGACACTGCTGTGGCCGGAACAGGCCTCTCCCTGCCTTTCCCAGCCCATCACTCAGCCATTAGGGCGGGCTCCTGACACTATTTAACCTACGGCATAAACAAGCTGCCGCTGGATTAACTCTGTCTCCGGGACACTATAAACATGGGCGAGCAACCATTTCGGGTAGTGCTCCCGGCGGCGCGGAGCATTCCCGGCACTAAAAAAGGAGCGATCTGGATTTTGTCGCCACCACTGTGGGCATCGGTCCCGCTGGCCGCGGCAGAGGCAGCACGTGGCCCATTGGACGGTCCGTGACACCAGCCTGGCATGTCAACCTGTCCTCTGGCACCTGGCTGATGGGCAGGGAGGAGAACGGGGGAACCCCAGGCACTGCCTGCAGTCCCTTACAGGGACCTCTTGGGGACAGAACTTTTTGTCTTGCGGCCCCATCAGCATCCCGGGACAGAGGGTAAAGGCATGGGGATGGGAGGAGAAATTCAGCACTGCTGCCACCCCAGCTGAGACCCCCAGCTCCAGCCTCCTTCCCCAAGGCAGAAGACCATACTGGGTTACACTGGTTACGCTGGGCATCTTTCCCATGCCCTCGGGGCTGCAGGAGATTGTGAGCTGGGCAGCACCATGGCAGAGTGTTTCCCTAAATCTGCCTCCAGCACAGCCTCTGCTGCTGTCACCACATCTGTTCCTGGCAGAGGTGACTGCCCATGGCTGGGCACCCCGCTGGGACACATGGCAGGGCAGGATGTGGCCCCCACCCTGTTGCCAAGCAGGTCACAGCAAACAAAACAGTTTTCCGTGAAGCTGTAAATGCTGCAGCAAACCCTACCCAGGTGGTAAGTGTCCCCTGGTGTCACTTCCCGATGTGGCAGGATCACCAAACACTCTTCCCTTGCCAGCCCCATCCTGTGGCTCAGCCCAAGGCTCCTTGCATGCAAGGTTTCAGGAAATGAAACACAGAAAGCGCCTGACATCGCCTGGCCAGCAGTGATACCACCTTATCTGCCATCAGAGGAAAGAAGAGCTGCCCCCCAGGGGTGACACAGGGTCTCTCAGGGGGGTTGGCCCCACATCTGTGACCTGATGGCACTGCCCACGTTCTGTCCAGCACATCCATGCACTGACACGCATCCCATGCCTGCTGCCAAGAGGGGACCAAAGCCAGGAGAATGGTAAATAAATATCTATTTGGCTGCCAAACTGGCTTTCAAAGGAGAGAAAATGTCAGGCATTGTGGGTCAGTGCAGGCAGGGAGCTGGGGACAGTGCTGTGGGCAGGGAGCTGGGGACAGTGCTATGGGCAGGGAGCTGGGGGCAGTGCTGTGGGCAGCAAGGGACTGGTGGAGCTGTGGGCAGCTGCACTCACAGGCAGCCCCTTGCTAGAGGTGCCCAACCCCACCAAACCAGGAAAAACTTGGGAATTACAGCAACTTTGTGCCAACCTCCTCCTCTCTGCCCCCGGCTGTCACCCCCAAGCTGGTTCTCTCTCTGTTCCCTCCAGTTTAGCTGGTTGCTTAAGCCACATTTCCTTAGGAAGTCCCGCTCTGAGGCACCATCTGTGCCTGTTCCCCAACCACCCCCAGCCACGTTTGCTGGAGCCCTGAGGCTTCACAGGTTGAGTCCTTAGGAGAGACAAAGCTGCTCCCACCAACACCAGCCTGGGCCAGTGCAAAACCCTTTGCAACAGAGCAATGAGCTGATGAGCAGCGTGGGAGCAACGTGGGAGTCCCACAGTGACCCCCTGGGAAGGTTTTCTCCCTTCCCAGGGAATCTGCTAGAAGCAGGATTGGGCATCTCTTCTCCCTACAGCAACTTGCTTGCGCTGAGCCCTGGGAGCCACTGCCTTTCCTTTGTGATACGTGAGACACATGTAGCACCTGCACCCCAAAAATACCCAGATTTTCCCGTTCCTGGCCAGACACCCCCTCTCCCTTCAAACCTCCTGCTATGGGGCCCTTCCCAATGAAAGGGTGCTGGTCTCTCTCTAGGACTGAGCCCACAGCAGCCATGGGACCACAGCAAAGACTTATCAACCATCACATCCCATACCATGCTGCATCATCCCACACTGAGGGGACAAGGACCGAATCCCTGTGTCAGGAGCAGCAGCCCCAGGGCACCTGAGGATACACATCCTCATCCAGCTCTGATCCTGCCCGCTCCACTCGCTGCCTTTTTTAACCAGTTGCCCTTGCACCACTGCTGCTCTTGGAGCTGCCTCCCAGAAGCAAAGCAGACCAGGAATTTGGAGCCAGGCTCCGTCTCGGCCCCAGCGTCAGGGCGGTGGACAGGGAGATTTATGGCCCTGCCTCGAGCCGCTTGGGTCTCACAAATCACCGCGCTGGCCCCAGATGCCTCTTATTTAATATAAATGAAAATAAAAATAACAACAGATTCTCAGGCCACCGTCCAGCAGCTTGAGCAGGATTTGGACGGGGCTCAGCGAGGAGACGGGGCCCCGGCGTGCGGAGCAGGGCTGGGCAGGGATGAGCCTCCAGCCCGCACACACAGCAGCTTCTGGGGAGGATGTGGGGACCAAGCAGCCGTCTGAAAGAGCCATGGTGGGACACTGGGCTGCACGGGAGCAGCCACGGCCAGAGGGATGTGATGCCATCAGCAATGACCCCCCTGCACTGGGATATCGGGGATATAGGAGCCCCTTTCTCTCTGTTGCTTTTTAACCCAGTGGCAAAGGGCAATTGATTTTAGGGAAGGCAGGCGCCGGGGAGCCTTACCCGATGATGTACGCCAGGACGATGAGCTGGATCAGCCGGAAGGTCAGTCCCACCTTCTTGTTCCTCACCAGCACCATCCGAGGGGTGTCATACTCGAAGAGGAAGGAGGACACCTTGTCCATGCACTTCTGCCCCATGGCTGCGCCAGGGCTGTGCCGCAGCCTCCCGGCAGCCCCGCTGTTTGCCGTGTGGGCTGTGCCCACCGCTGGCCCGGCAGCTCCTCTGTTTGCACAGTGGAGAAAAAAAACCAAAATAAGAGTGCTATCAGCGTGGCTCCGTGCACATCTGGGCTGGCGGGTTTCCTCCTCTGCACTGGGATGGGGCTTCCTCTTCCTATAAGCTCTGGGCTGGGAGCAGCGGGTGCCCTACATGGTCCGGGGGTGGGACAGGGTGCGGGAGGGTGCAGGGCCACCCCGCTGCCGAGTCCACGTGCCAGCAGGATGAAGCTGTCTGCCTGTGGGGGATGCACCCTCGCCCAGGCAGGGCCTTCCCTGGGGATGGAGTGCTGCGGGCAGGGCTCGGGATGAGCACGAGGCATTCCTGGGAGCAACAGTGGGATGGAGGTGGTGGGGGTCCTGGGAGAGGATTTTAGGAGCTGGGATGGGGGTATCACCTTTTCTACCCCAGCAGCCACCTCAGGCTGTGGGTCTCCTATTAGCGTCCCAAACCCATGTCCTACTCTGTCTGCTCTAGAAAAAAGGTCATGAAAGAGGAGGGGGGGTACAGAAACCCCAGCCCAGAAATTCAGAGCCAACCCACGGGCAGACGGGTGCCCAGCTTGGCCCCCTCCCATGGTGAGACTGAACAGCTGGGCTTGGCTGGTTCCCAGAACTTGGGCTGGGTGCATTTTGAAGCATTTTCAGCATTCCCAGCATTTCCTGAAAGGCCCAGCTATGAGCAGGGCCAGGCGAGCCAGGGTCACAGTGAGGGATGCTCAGCAGGCACCACTTTAAGCAAATATCACTGAGAAAGAGACTGGATTTGAACATGTCAGGCTGAAATTTGGGGTCCGACATCACCACAGGGGGAAGTTAGGGGGAGGAAGGGAGCACAGAGGCTGTGGATGGGGTACCCTGTGTCTCTACTGGATCCCACCAGGCAGCACTAGGGCACAGCCCCACAGGGCTCTTTGCTGGGGAGGGGAATACAAAGACTGAGCAGGGTTGTTTTGGGAGAAACAGAGAATTTTTTCCCCCCAAAATCCCAGAGCCCAGCCACTTCAGCACTCCCTGCAAGGACAGGCTCCATCCCATGAGCCCCAGTTCATCTCTGCCTCCTGTGACCTTGAAGGAGTCACTGGCTCTCTGCAGCCACCGAGCCTGGGACAAGGGCCCTCCCTGCAGGAGGAAATGGTTTTGGAAATATGGAAAAGCTTAACCTGCTGGGATAAATCTTTCCTTTCTGGAACATTTCTCTTAGCATCACCACCTCTCAAGTTCAACTGCCCTTCACTTGCTGTCACGTTGACCTTTCGACTCAATATATTGCAGACCTGACAACCACAAAGTGAGCGGAACAAATCGATTACCTTTGCTGGCCAATAGAGAAAACTGGGGAAAAAGCAGCTGAGCCCGTTATCCAAATCTTTTGGGCATACCATGAAGCATGGGAATCAAAATCAGATGATCCCACGTTGCAAGTGACGTGATGCAGTCCCAACGCCCCAGCCCTCAGCAACATGGAAAGCTGTCAGACAGGGAGCCAAAAGCAAATATGAAATGCTGATGCTAATCACACAAGATTGAAGGCTGATACTGCTATTGAGTGGAGCAGACAAACCTTATAAGCTTAGATATCTGTCAGGAGAGAAGCAAATAACTTACTGTATGAAACGAGGCCTTTTAGGGAAGGCTGCTCACCCTTGCCAAAGCCATGGGGATAATGAAAATAGGACAGCTAAATTTAACAGCAAAATGACTTGTAAAAGAGCCACTTCTAACCTCCTCGCTGGTACTTGGAGTCAATAAAATGGTTAGAGCATGGATTTAGCTAAAATACTTTCCATTGGGAGATATTATGCATCTCCCATTTTATGATCTCTTGGAGCCATGTTGCAGCTGGTGGGTGGGGCGGGACCCTGTGGATGTGTCCAGAGCGATGTTGGGAGCATGGAACCCCACCATGGGAGCACCCACAGGGCCTGGGTCTCCTCCTGGGCTGATAACAGCACCCAGCACAGACACCCTCTTTGGCCACAGCACCCAAATGTTTGAAAAAAACCCACAGCCTAAACCCTTGCACATCACCATTGCTCATGCCCACACCATCCCTGGGACTGCCACTCTTTAAATTACTTTACAACAGGGAATTCAGTAGGTTTGGGCTGGCATTGCTTATCTACATGGCCCTGCAAAGGTGCCTTGGTGGTGCCAGATGGCTGGTGTGCCAGCTAACACACCTCCCTGCCTCTGCCAGGTGGTTATCGAGGGACAGTCCCCTGCTGGGGCTGTTCAGGTGTTAAATTACCTGCCCAACACGGCAGTCACCAGCCTGGAGATGCTGAGGTCACAGCGCTGTGATGCTTTCGGGTGTGGTGCAGGCACGGGGCTGTCCTGATGCCAGGCCAGGGCTTGTTTTCTGTTTGCTGTGATAATAAATATATTACTGCAACATCTAAATGAAAAATAGAAGTAGAATTAGGGGAAAGAGGTTTTGATCAGCCTCCTGTGTAATGTGCAGCTTGTGGGGGGTTCCATGACCCGCTGCACTGACACTCACACGCAGCAGGGACCTCGGGGCTGGTTTTATCTGGGGTTCCCACAGACACAAACTCATATGATGGTGTCAGTGCACACCACATTCATTTCCTCTGAATAACTTTTGTATCTCTTGGCCACTTCCAAGCAGAGCGGGCAGGAGGCCTCGGGGGTGTTCTGCCTGGAGTGATGAGATGCAAAGGCTGCAGATGCTGCTGGAGGCTGCAGCAGGTCCTGGGCACTGAGGGTGGGTTTTCCCTGGGCCCAGTGCTGAGCTGGGCTTGACCTGAGCAGCATGAAAACAAGGGATCAAATGGGACAACACAGGGACACAGAGGGTAACACTGGAAGTGTTCAAGGCCAGGTTGGACGGGGCTTTGAGCAACCTGGTCTAGTGAAGGTGTCCCTGCCCATGGAGGGGGAACTGGATGAGGTGGTCTTTAAGGTTCCTTTCTACCCAAACCAGGTGATTCTAATTCTAAAACCAGGTAGAGATAAGGAAAATGAGCCCATCAAGCTCCATGCCCCACCAGAGGGGAATATAGAAACAGCAAATGAGGTCCTAAAATCTGTGTTTGTGTCCAGGGTTGCAAAGCCCCAGGACCAGATTGCCCAAATGCTCTCCTGGGTCAGCTGGCATTGACTAGTCCCCAGCACCAGTCTTGGCCTCATCCAGCATCTCCAGCCCCAGCTGGGCCAGATGCCAAGGGCATTGAGGGCTGGTGACCCTCCGAGGGTATCCCTGGCAGTTCTGCACAGGGTCAGCACAGGGCTCTGTCCACAGCTGCCAAAGCAACTCCTTCCCCCTGCCCATTAAAGAGGCTCAGCCTGCAAAAAACTGGTGGTTTTAAGGGAGATGTTTGGAAATGTGAGTGCATCCTTTTTTTGAGCTGGGACATGGACACAGAGGATGGAGGAGCTGCTGGAGCACAAAGAGGGTGCTCTGAAAGCCTCTTCATGGGGATCAACCCCACCCCCACCCACAAAAACAAAGCTGTGGAAGGCATAAAAGCTGACAGGTCTTTCCAGGCTGTCGGACATTGCTTTTCCAAAAACTTATTGGGGGGGGAGGAAACCCAAAAATAAGAGATGAAGCTCATTTCACAACCCAGACTCATGCTTGGCAGAGTCCAGCACAGAGCTCTGAATTTCAGCACAAAAATGTGCAGCATGCTCAGATCTCTGGATGGGGAGGAGTAACACAGAGGCAAGGAGATGTAAAATATGACAGCGGGTGCAAAGGGGACCTGCTGTGGTTGAGGCTGCCAAGAAGAGCCCCTTAGAGCCGGTGGCTCTTCCCAACAATTTTGGCTGGCACAGACCCCCTTGCCCTCACCAGCCATAGGAGATGGTGACACTGCCCTGCTGGCAACGGGAAGGGGAGGGTGGAAAAAAAATTGGCAAATGAGAGCAAGCAAGGTCCTGCAAAACAGCATGTTCAGTTTTCTTTCCAATTTTAACTTGTCCTTGACCCTTCTTCGCTCCTTCTCAGCAGGGCTGGCTCCACTCCGTGCTTGTCCCGTGCTGCGACGCCCCGGCACAGGGAGACGTTTTTTGGAGGTGCTCACCCCTCAGAAGTGGCATTTCCACCCCCACTTGCTGTGACAACTGGAAATATTTCAGTGGTGGTTTAGCCAATGCCAAAGCAAACATGAATCTGAGATGCTGGGGGAAAAGGGTGTCAGTGGCCCTGTGGCCACTGAGGCCACTGGAAGTGTGGATGCACATCCCATGGGATGACTGGACACCTGCCATAGGGCACAGGGACCCTTGGTTTGGTTTTTTTGGGAGGGTAATCCCTGTTTTCTGAATCATGGCTCTAAAAGACAAGCATAGCCCCAGTGATGATGGTCCCCAGGGGTCTAGGGACCAATGCAACATCAGGTGGAGAATTTGGGGTGGTTTTGCCTCCACCCCCATGTCCTGAGACACCACTGCACTCTCAGGGGTGGCTGGTCTGGGGGACCATTGAGGGTCACCTCCAGCCATGGCAAGGGTGGTCCTCACGCTCTGACAATGGAAAGAACATGGTCTACATCTAGAAAAGAGGAGGCCAAGCAATGGCCCTTTCCCAAAACCAGCATTTGCCAGGGTATCCCATGTGCCTCTTTGTGACCCACTGTGGGTCACAGAGCTTTTGGCTTTCCCTGTGCAGCACCTTTCTCCTGCTCGTGGCATTGGGAAGGGGCACACGGGGCCACATCCCAGCAAAACCGCACCAAGGGCGGACGTTGCCATGAACACGGATTTGCTCCAAAACAGGATCCACAGCTGCATCAGGATTTTCCACTCAAAACATCACCGTGGGCAGAGCTCCGGGTGATGCGGAGATGGGAACGCACGGCCCCAAGCCCTGTGGCATCCTCTCAGAGGAGGCCAAGTTACTTAATTATCATTTATTTCATAATTATTTCTTGTGGAGGTCATTGCAGGGCTTATTTAATCCTCCCCTCTCAGCTGGGGGTGATAAGGTGATGACTATTCTGGACACGGCCAAAATTAGCACTGTTATTTGTATTCTTGTGCCCCAAGAGCAAATTAAAAAATTCCCAACAGTCACATCATGCCACTCCATTCATTTTGCCTTTGTTATCCCATGCCAGGCACAAACTCAGCTCCATTTCTAGTTTGGCTCCTCTGAAAACCCACAAGAAATCCTGATCTGGTGAGCACAACTCCTTTTACGGACGAAAAATGCCCTCAGGCACTCCTATACAGCTCCATCGGCTCCCAAATGCCCCCCAAATTAGCCACAAACAGGACAAGAAAAGCAAAAAAAAAAAAAAAAGGTAAAAAAACCCAACAACAACAGCAACTAGACAAAAACCCAAGAGTCATCCAGTAAAATCGCTTTTATTTCTGTAATTTTCTAAGTATAAAACAAATCAGCCCAATATTGTGTGAACAGAGTGCATTGTATGGATGTGACCACGAGGAGCCTTCCCACGTCTTCCCGGCACACCTGGATATTTACAGTCAGACAAAGGACACGATTTAGGAAGCGGTAATTTAGTGGAAAAATATCTCTCATATAATAAAATAGGAAACCTCATTTCTTTCAGTTCTGTCCCTCAGTTAACACCCTCCCACCCTCCCCAAGATATAATGATTTATCTTTTGCTACAGAGCACAAACTCAGAGATTTCTAGATTTGGCTGTTCAGGCATCTCATATAAAAAAAAATCAACATAGTCCCAGACCCAAGCCACTGAGAGCACCCCCTGGCAGCTCAGTAGTCACCCTCCTCTTGGTCCCAAGTGCCTGGATTGACCCAGTTCAGACACCCCCTGAGGTACCCACGGCCCCATCACTCCAGGCACACACAGATTTTGGCTCATTTAATGCCCCACCCACACCAAAAGCTGAATGGCACCACGAGGAAAGGTCCAGGGAGCACAATTCACTCTGTGTTTGCCTTTCCTCACTGCAGCCCTGCAAACCCTAACCCTAACCTTGCCATGCAAGCTCTGCACAGGGTGAAACCTTCTCCTTGGTACCAAAAACCTGAGTCCACACTGTCTCCCCTGACAGAAAATGCCACTGCAGAAGTGGGGGAAAAAACCAACTCAGGTGATCCTGAATCTCTGGCATCATTTATAGAAGGTGGCCATGGCAGGTATGGTCCAAAAATCACAATAAATCTTAGGAGTTGGTATTGGGGACTCTGGTGTGTTTGAAGTTCAGGAGTGATGTGATGCCAAGGTCACAATCTCACAAACATCTCTCAGCCTGAGCCCCTGCACAGCAATTATTTGAGGAGATTTGGTGGAGCAGGACCCTGTCTGGGGAGCAGCACTATCAACCTGATGTACAAAAGAAGAAACAAAAATTAATGCTGAGTTTTCCTGTTGCTCCTCTAGCTACTTCTGCCATCCACACCGTGAGCAGAAACTCCGATTCCATCCCAGGTTTGATGTTTTTACAGGAACAAAGTCCCCTCCAGTAGAGCCTGTCCCTCCAACTGACCTCTCCAGAGCCTGGTGGTACCATCCAGCCTTGGCATCAGAAACACACACACACGGCATCTTCCCAATGCCAAAGCTTCAAACACACAAATCCCAAAACTCATCCACACCCTGAGCCCTACAGCGGCCACACGACACAAATAAAACACAGGATGCAATGCTTTGCCCTTTTTCCTTTTCCAACCTGCCTCCCCATGGGATCACACACCACAGGGGGAAGAGCTCACCCAGCAACTTCCCACAATGACACAACATCCCAAAACAGTACAAAAGACTTTCCACAGCTGCTGCCCAAAGCTGATCCACCGGGTGTTTGCCCTGGGGACACGGGACCCTCCCCTCCCACCTTGGCTGTACCCCAGCACGGTGCTTGGCCCCTGAGGAAGGAGTATAAAGTGCTCATGGATAATCCCATGCTGCCATCCCAGCACATCCTATGCCCTGCACCTCGTGGACGATCTGCCACAGCAGCCCACCGATGTTAAAGGTCTTGCTGGAAAGACCTAATATTTTATTTAAAGCCTTCAAATATGCCAGGCAGCACCATCAAAATAAAACGAAAAAGGAAATAATTCCTAAACTCTGTTGCCAAAAAAAGCAAGGAGCACAGAGGTTTGCCCCCAAGCTGCTTTTTTTAACAAACTCCTGGGCAAAGCAGCCACCCAGGGCCCATCTCCCTTGTATTGCACGTTCAGATGCCTCGGTAAGACCCAAGACCTGATCCCAAAGTGATGGTCTTGGCTTTAGGATCTCCATGTTTCCACAAGAACATGCTCCAGCCCAGCGGGCTGCTGGTGGCACACATGCAATAAATAACTACTCTGTGATTTATCCTGACCCTTCACTGAAGAATAAAAGAAAAAATAATTACATCTCTGGATATTTTTCTACATCATTAAGATATTTGAAGTATAAGCCTCTGTAATCAAAGAGAATGGAGTGAAACCTGTATTCCAAGTAATTGAAGGATGGGGGGAAGAGAGATGTGCTCAAGCATTCAGAAGGGGAAATGATATGACAAAACATTCCCTCCTAGCAAGGGGAGGTTACCTGTGCTATTTTCTAGGTAGATCTGAAGGCTCACAATAGAAACCAAACTGAATTTGTTGCTGCTGGAAAGAACAAGCCTTTGGCTGGGACCCAGCTCTGGTTTGTTGCCCACAAAGGCTCAGGGTTTGCGACTCACAATTGCGACCCAACGACTGCATGAACAGACTGACCCTGCCCAGGCTTTTACACCAGCAACTCCTCCACACACACACATACACAAATTTGGGTAAAATTAATAATCCCCCAGCGCACCTCAAGTCCAGGGAAAACACTGTTAACTCAGGAAGTGCAATGGATGGGCCAAGCAGGTTCCTGCAGGCACAATGTCCCAGGGAGATGCCACGTGGCAGCTGAAAGCTTTGCTGGACCCTCCCAATACGACTGGGATGCTCTGAATCCAGTCTGGCCTCTGAATCCAGACCAGACTCTCCCAAACTGGTTTTCAGCCTCAGGGAAACACAGAAGCTGTTTCCTCTGATGTCCTCGAGCTGGTACTGGATTAAATTCCCACTGGTTATTTTTCTGCACGGAGAGATGGAACTGGACTCAAACATCTGGGACGTCTTTTCCAACCTACACAATTCCATTGTGTACTAAAATAAGGTGAAATCCACCCTTTTGGGGAAAGGCAAATCACACGTCTACAGCATTAGTCTTACTGAAGCCTTATCTTGAAGGCTTGAGCAGTACCTGGGTCATACCCTGGTCCTCTGCACCAGGGTGAACCTCATCCACGGTGAAAATCTTTGAAGAGGAATTGGTTGTCCCATGGGATCAACTAATTAAATCAATTAGACAGAACACATTTGAAAAATAAAACTTCTTCAAGACAAAGTATAATAAGATTTAAAAAAAAAAATCAGCAACAATCTTCTAACCACAGAGTATCTATAAAGATCTTTTTAAAGAGCTCCATATTAAAATTCCTTGAATACATTATATATTAAATACAGTAACAACATTTCATGCAAGGTTTTCTGTACAATAAATCAGCTCAGTAGTATAACAATTCTGTACATTCCCATTGGTCTGGGGGCTCTGCTCGTCTTCAATGCTGGTGATGGAGAAAAGAAAGGAAGGATGATATTTGGCACCTACTGTACAGAAGAAGAGTAGCTCTTGCCCAGGTGAAGCAGAAAAGCACTGGAAGCTTTTAAGAGGCAAAAAGTAGAAGAAAAAACCCAACAGTGAAGGAGCAAAATGCTACCCCAAACCCTGGCTCTAGTGCTGTTGCTGGAATGTAAGAGAAAGGAAAGATACAGGCTCTGGCTAGTTAAATATTATCAGGATGGATCATAGGGGACCATGAGGAAAACAGGAGGGAGGATTTGGAGAGCTGGAGAAGAAACCACCCACTCTCAGCTTCTCAGCTGATGTGGTTTGATGGAGACAGATCAATTTAATGGATCCCAAATCCACTCAGGATCTACCAACCCTCACTGCAGCCTGCCTCGCTCCTGCTGTGGAAAAATCCCAAGAGGGCAAAATAAACTTGGTGCCTTATAAAAAGGGATGCCACAACAAACACCACCCATGGAGAAAGACCAGGTTATGTACAAGCATACATTCATTCCCATCTTGATCCCTTGGCAAGGATGCCCTGTGCAAGACAGTGATGTTCTCCAAAGCAGAGGACACAAAGTCATGGACACGCTCCTAAAGACTTAAGCTCTACTCCTGCTAGGGAAGTAGTTAAAAATACACTGAGGGATGAAAGTGTGACCAGGAGGGAGTGGTGGACATGAGGAATGCAAAGGTGGGTGTCCCCATGCTTTGCTTTACATGGCTGCCCCTACGAGGAGGAGGGTGGTTCATATAGTGCAGATGGGATGTAAGATGTGGGATGGAGAAGGACAGACAAGGCTACGTCATGCTTTGGTGTTGGATGAGCCTGAGAAGGTGCTGGGCTTTCCACAACGCAGGGATCAAACGGGACAGCACGATAAATAGGGAGAACTTTGCCTTCCACCACAGGCACCTGATCTCAATGTACAAACACACATCTGTGAGATCCACACCGCCGTCGGACACGCTCTGAAGGTATTCCCAGATGCTGTGGCCACCGGAGCGGCCAGCAGAGCAGCAGTGATGAAATCATCAAGGGTCAGAGACCCCAACACACGGCCCCCTCACCCCTCTCCCCGCCCTCACCCACTGCCAAGCCCTTCCTGGCCCCAGAAGCTGCCCTCATTCACCCCATCCCCTTGGGGGATGCAGCCTCCCATCTGCGCTCGGCGTGTCACCCAAAATCCCGACTGCCCCCCTTCGTGGAGGATGCCCTGCCTGAGCTCACCCGGCGAGGGTGAAAATTGGAAAGAGGATCTCAAATTTGGCAGGAACAAATCCCCAAGGAACCGCGTTGCAACGACCCAGGTCCACACAGCTCCATCCCCAAACCCAACGCCAGCTGTCCAGTAATTGCACTCGTATGTACAGGAAAAAGAAAGCTACGAAACAAAACAAAATCAGTATTTTTCTTTTCGACGATTCACCCGCATTTGTCTGATAGTCGGACACATGCATGTCCTGCTGGCTTCTAGTGATGGTCACACATGCAAGACTTCAGTCCGAGTTACAAGTTAAGGATCCTTTAGTTCAGAGTGTTGCCTTCGTGTCATTCATTTCTTGTCCTCTTCTCCTGAAATGAAGCAAAAAAAAAAAAAAGGAAAAATATTGGTGAGGGTTCAAAGCAAACCAGCTCCCTGTTTTTGTTATCAAGAGTGGCTGCTCTTGGTTGATCCCAAAAGGGGACCTGGGATCCTGTCTGCACAGAGTTGGTCCTACTGTAGCCACGGCAGCTCAGGCTGTGTCAGGAGGAGGAGGATGCTGGTCCCTGGGTGAGGAAGGGCTCGGCACACTCAGCCTGCAGGAGGCAGGAAAAGGGATGAGGCAGAGCCATACAGGCACAGGAATGGTGGGAGATGAGCAGGCAGGATGCCTTGCTACTGCTCCTAATGAGGCATCACCCTGAGAAAGGCAGTGACTCAGAGAGAAAGGAAAGTCACTGCATCCCATCAGCCGTCCCTGCCACAGCCAGATCTGTGGATGCTGCTCCTTGGGCTGACACCACTTACACACAGTACACATATATTTACCTTCAGAACAATGAGCAAGGACCAATCTACTCATCACAGCCACTATTCCAGCCCCAGGGCTGCCCTCCTCCCTTCTCCCTCCCTCCAGATGAATGAGGTTGGACAGGGAAGATAACAGGCAACACATGGCCTGAAGGAAAGCTACAGTATTCAGCTTGAACTCCATGTGAGCAGCCTCAAAATCCCTGCCAGAGCTTGACTCACATCAACCAGATCCTCAATTTTCAAGCAGTTGACAGGAGCTTCCCTGACCCCCCGAGGCAGCAGCTGCCCTCCAGCCCGGGGCAGCTCACTCTGCCCAGAAACAGGTTTTATTTCTTAAAAAAACCCACTCACAAGCAGCACTTCTTAAGAAATCACTTATCGGCAATCTTTCAGCTGCATTTCTCTCTCTTTCATCGCTGCACATATCACCAAACACATCTCACAGGGGACTGCTGTTACTGTGCTCTTGATAAATAGGGGTCCTGCCCGGGGTTACCCGCGAGCTCCGCACCCGCTGCCAACCCCGGTGCCGACAAGCTTCCAGGGGAATTAATAAATAACAGGGGAGAGAGAGGGAAAAAGCCTTTTTGCAACTTCTGCCAAAACTTTTTGCAGTGCTGGCTGGAGAGCCCAGCCCAGCTGTCCTAAGATAAAATGGCTTGTTGCAATGGCAGCATCCCCCCAGATAACCCCCACACCTCCAGATAACCCCCACACCGTGGGCTTTGGTGCCCAGCAGGGATGCTGGCGACTGCACTGTATTAAATCTCAGTGCAATAATCAAAATTCATCTCCTCCCCATTTCAGAGGTGTCCCTTCAGCAGCTTCAGCAGCTGAACAGTCTCTACCAGGTGACACATCAGTGGTTATTCACCAGCCATGGCACTTCCCCTAAACACATTGCCCTGTGGTTGTGCAAACAGGGAGGATGCCATGGCATGGGGCAGACAGGCACAGGGAAGGGACATGGCTGCAGTGTTTGTTCTTCAAAATGCTACTCTCAGGCCTCTAAATAACCCAATCCTGGCACAGAGAGAGTCAGGCGTTTCCATGAGCCCTGCAACAGCCAAGGGTCTGGCTCCCACTCAGCTTTAGGAGGATGCAGGTCCCTGCATGCCAGTGTCTGTCTGTCCTCCCCTCACACTGGTGACAGGAGCACAGGGGATGCAGGACCTGTTTGCAGGAATGATAAATGATGGAGCAGTGGTGATCCATCTGGATCCTGCCTCACACCAAACCTCCCAGGGGGGGTCACAGCCCTCCAGCATCTGCAAATCAGCAGCTGAACAACGCGAGCTCAGCTTCTGCAAGATCTGCTCCCCTCAGCACAGTCGAGGCTTTTGAGGAGGTTTCTCCTTATTGCTTTTGACTTTCCTCTTAACAGGTTCCTGTAAAAGGTGCTGCTGGAGGGATGCAGACTCCAGCTGCCAGCCTGGATCACTTCCTCCACCAAAGGAAACACCACAGCCCTTGTAGCTCTGAAAACTGCACGTCTCATCCATCGCACCAGGGCACCAAGCTTCATCCGAGAGCCCAAACCCCAGGAGAAAACCAAAAAGGAAAACCTTTTCCCATCCCTTTCCCATCCCAGGGCAGCAGCGCTGTCAGCTTCCCTCTGCTCTTCCATTTCTAAAGCATGACACACTGACATACCCAATAAAACAGGAGAGGGGGGGAAATAAAACCAAAGAGCAAGGCAGCAGAGCTGGAAAATCCCATGTGGAGATTCCAGCACTGAAAGGTGCAGCACTGCTCTCCTGCAGAGCATCCCACAGCTCAAGGGAGAGACTTGGCCCCTGGGGACACATTCCTCTGCCAGCGCCCAGCCAAGGTAGCTCCACACAGAGATTACCCTACAAGGGCAGGCCACGGCCGCAGGCGCTTGCTCCCTGCTCTGCCGTGCCAGGGAGAGGGATGCTGCCTCCTCCGCAGGGAACATGGGCAGGCAGCAGCCCCTCTGCTCCTGGGGGAGTGCTGGGGGGTTCCCTCATTCCCAGGTGCACCGAGGAAGATGAGGGTGAGCAGCTCTATTTCACTACTGCTGGTGGGGTTTTGTGATGGGAAAGGAGATTTTGGTCCCTGCAGATTTTGGGCTGTCTTAGACGCCTGGCAGAGAGTGTGATGCACTTGTCACCACACTGCCACCTCTGCCAGCCACTCTCCTCTGGGAGGATGCTGAAGCATAAAGGTGATGCCAGCTTGGCAGAGAAGTGGCCAAAGCTCCCATGGCAATGGAGATGCTCATGCAAGGGTGCAAATCCCACCTGCACATCAGCTGAGGCAGCAGGAGGCTGTGGGGCACTGTGCTGCCCACCAGGGAGGGAACAGAGACCCAAGCAGGGCAGTCATCACTTGCAGCTCCTGCAAAATCATCCCAAGGGCTTCTGTGCTCGCTGGGTGCAAGGACAAATGGCTGCATAAATGCCAATCTGCCACAAAACACACCCAAGTCAATTCCTGTGCATCAAAACTCCTGATTTTCAGTGATGCTGCTGCTGTCAGGGCAGGTGCGTAGTTGTGTTGCAGAAAGCACCTGCTTCATGATTTGCCCCTGCTTTTGCCACAGCACAAGTGAGAAACAGTGATGCTCGAGCACCCAGGCAGGGCCTGCTGCTCAGTGTGCTGAAAACAACCACCGTGGCAACTCCACCAGCTCTGATGGGTTTGCTTCAAGATGGTGAAGATGAGGAGGCCCAGGGACAGTGCAGGAGGGGAGCAGGGTGGCCTCAGCAGTGGGGTGAGGGTGTACAGAGCTACATGAGCACCAGGGTTATCTCAGTGTCCTTTCTAGATTTGATACCTTTTGAGAACCACTCAGAAAAGGGACTTCTGCAAGGTCTTTGCACAGATGCCTGGAAACCATCCTCCTGCATGCCACAGGATTCAGAAAGAACAAACACTTCAATGCACAGAGCATGGAAAATATTAAAGATACCAGAGCAAGAGGTACTTAAGGGTGGTCAGCCCCTGTGAGCCTGCCAGTGTGTATCTGTGTGACAGACCCTGAGAGGGCCCATCTCCACGTTCCTGACCAGAACATCTGCAGATCCCACCAAGCCAACCCAGCTCAGTTCTGCACATTCACTTGCTCTCACACTCACGTTGCCTCCCAAAACTCAGACAGCAGAAACCTCAGAGGGGGCCAGGAGGGGAAGGCGGCAGCCAGACATGCAAAGTATGTGAGATGAAAGGCTGGACATGGCAAGGATGATGGGGAGAGGAATGTAAAGCACTGAGACCACGGTGAAAACTGAAGAGTCTCAGCTTTTGGCCACTTCAAGGACAAGGAAAATCCAGCATAATGGAAACACAACAACTTATCTAAATCTCATCAAAAGGAGAAACTTTTCCATGCAAAACCTGAATCAGCAGAATATACATTCTGCTCACAGCTATACATTTGCATTCCTCAGCTGAACACCCTTGGCCATCCCATGCTGGAGACCATCCCCAAGTGCTGCCTTGCAGAGATCAAGCCTGGCCCTTGGCCAAAACTGCCATCAAACAGATACTTCACAGGCTTTTTAGACCTTATTTTGAAGCAAAACACAGAGGCCACTGTGGGAAAGGAGATCCTGTCTGGGTACAGGGTCCCTGGGCTCTGGTATTGGCTGTTTTTCTAAGCCATGTTCACCCAGACACATTCCAAGCAGGTCCCCACCACACATGAGCAAGACTTTGTAGGAAGCACAGGGATACTGCATTCAGGGATGAGACATGTAGGAAGCCAACCCTTGCTCTGGAGTCTTGCAGGTTTTCAACTGGTGCTCCCCGCTCCACTCGGGTCTTACTGTCCTGAGAATGCCTGGTAAAAAAATCACAAGACCACACATAAAAGTGGTTTTTGGAGGTTTTTTTCCCTTTGATTTTCAAAGCCCAGAGGAATTAGGAAGATGAAGAATTTCAATTACTTCTTTCAAATCCGATGATTGAAGCGTGATTTTGGCCCACAGCTGTGATTGAATAACTGCAGGGGAAACCCTGGCTGGGTGAGACACAGAGCAACCCGTGAGCATCGGCAGCATCATGGCCGTGGGGATGAGGGCAGCTCAGAGGACCCAGCATGCTGGGAGGAAACACTCTGAGCTGGCAGGATGGCACTTGGAAGGATCACATGCCTACCAGGAACCTTGCTGTGCTCGGAGCTGCGCAGGCAGAGCCAAAGAAAAGCCTTTCCTCCAACAGTGCTGAGACTTCAAGGAGAAATACAAAGTGTGGGAGAGAGACAGACTCATCCCTAGATCACAGATGGTGAAGTGAAGACCGAGGGCATGCATGGGATGCAAAACAGCCAGGAATCAACCAGCTCTCCTACACCCCAGCCCGGTGCCACGCCATGGATTGTTGCTACAGGCTTGTAATTGTGGGATAAAACAGACCTGCGTGTCTGGTGAGAGAAACAACAACTAAAAAAAATAAGCTAGAAACAATTTCTATCTGGTCTGTAAAAACAGGAGCCCCTGCACCTCTGTTTCTCTGAGCAATCGCTGTGTTTATGCATCAGCTCAAGGCAGAAAGGAAGACTGACATGAGCACCCCACCACACCAGGACCCACTGATGGGGAGGGCGACCAGTTTGGGATCATTTCTTGCTTGCAATAATTTCCCATCCCATATTTCCACCTTTTTGCAGGGTTCTGCTCCATGAGAAACCAAACAGAGCTGCTATGAAGGCCCAGATCCCTCCCTGACAGGCCTGGTCAGACCTGCCTTCAGCCCTGAAAGGCAAGAGTGGCTTTGCAGAGTTTTCCTGGATCATTATTACAGGGTGAAGGTAAAAGGAGGGGTTTGCTAGAACACCGGTTGCCTTAGGGGTGAAAAAAGGTTTGAGCGAGGTGATGCTGTGGAAGGACATCCAGTCCCCACACTCAGATTGTTCATCTGCTCCCAGAGCTTCCCCAGGCAAGGACAGTGTTTCTCCTGCCCTTCTTCTCCCTGCTATCACTGTCAGGGCAAGCACACCCCAAAAAATGTTTTCCTGGACAGGGGACAGCCCATGACAGGCACAGCACAACCAGGCAGCCCTGGGCCCGCAGCCACTGCTGGGAAAACCTGTGGGTTTAACTCAGCGCTGAGATATCCCCCACAGCAAGTGAGGTTTTTTTCAAGAAATGAAAGGAAAGATGATATCATCTCTTTGGAGGGCTGCCTAAAATCCTGCTGTGATTTACAGCACAGAGTCCAGGAGCACATGGGAATCTCTGCCCCGGTGTCACGGGAGCTGCTTCTCCTCTGTGTGTGCCACGGGCCAGATCCTGAGAGGTGCTGGCCAAGGGCAACCCCATCAAAACCACTTTATAAGGTGTTCAGCTCTCAGTTGATCTTAGCACAGAGGCAGCCAAGACAAGGCAAGGATGGACAGAGATGGGTGGACAACTTGAGAGAAAAAAGGAAGGGATCATGTTAGAAACCAGTATTTGATTTGTTTTATTTTATAAGTGAAGGGATCCAGTTCCTGGAGGTTTGAGAGGAGCTGGATAAACAATCCTTGGCAGGTTTACCCGGTGCTCCAGCTCCAAAGGGAGCATTTCAGGCAGGTGTAAGCACCAACTGCTCTGCCAGGCGTGGCACCAGGAAGGAAGGGAGTAGGAAGAAAAGCCCCTTTTCCAGAGCAGGGTGGACACGCAGGTGCAGACATCGCACGAGCAGAGGAGGTGAGCGAGGTGTCCCCAAAGCCACAACCCCCGAGCAAAGCACCACAGAGCAAACCCAACCCAGGGTGGTGCAGCCCACACTCACCGTCCAGGTGGTTGCGGGAAAGGTACTTGAGTCCTTCGTCCAGCAGGATCACGGGCAGGGAGATCTTCAGCACGACCACCCACTGCGGCCAGCTCAGGGGGGTCACCTGGAAGATGAGCTGCAAGGTGGAAAGGATTGGACACGTCAGGAGGGAAGGAGGTGGGATATTTTTTTGTTTTAAGGGTCACATAGTTGTAGGGCAAAGGTTGAGAAAGGGTCGTCCCAGGCACAAGGAAGGAGGATCCAGACAGCCCAAAGAACAGGATTTCAAGGTCCATCATGATCCCAAGGTGGCTCTTGGACAAGATGAGTCAAAGATTATGTCCTTCACCTCTCCTGCAGGTGGGGAAAGTGAGGCATGAGCTAGGACTGCGTGTTTGTGTGCTCAAGGGCACTCAGCAGGGGACAAGGGACAATGTCACCTTCTGGGCACAGAGACACACTTCACCTTTAGCACCCTTGGGCATTGACTGAGGTATCACCAGCCTTGAATTGCAAAGGGAGGAGGTGACACCACAAGGGGCTGAACCACCTTCTGGAGATACCTACACCCCTTTGCACTGCCCATAAGAAGAGCTTCTGACTTAGGTAAGGGCAGGGTGACTCCTGGTTTGCAAGTCACAGGACCTGGACCTGAGGGCACCTTTTAGGGACAACCATCCCAAAAGCTTCCAGACCCAAAGATTGCTCCAGGCATGTCCTTTCCCACAGGAGCCCTCTGGGCTGAGGGCAGAGGTGGCAGAGGGCACTCACAGGCATGGGCTTAACGTAGAGGATGAGGAAGTGCAGAGCCATGGACATGATGATGGCCCCCAGCAGCCAGATGTTGAGCCACGGTGGCATCCGCAGCAGCGACTGGTTCTCAGAGACACTGGAAGGCAAAGGGACAGTGTCAGCCCCAGTAACCTCCTGCTCCCCACACCTGCCCAAGCTGGGAGCTCCATTAACCCTCCAAGGTGCAGGGTCACATGCTGTATCTCTATTCCAGACTGCTCAGCTTCAGGCTTTGCTGCAAATTCCATCTCAATGCTCAACACAACCAGCCTTCATGGATTAGGACTGATCACTAATGACCAAACCACTAATGGATGTAGATCCAGTCCTTCCTCCACTGCTATCAGCAGCAGCACACTGCCTTGGAGGAGTTTGATCATGGAAAACCCAGTAGCCCCCTGTGAGGACGCTCTGAATGGCTCTGCTGAGCCAAAGCAAAGCTCTCAGCCCACCCACAGATGCTCAAAGAGACCCTGCACAGACTCAGTCAGGCACAGAGCAATCCTGCAGCCACCTCACCTGTTCAGAGCGTTGCACATTTCGATTGTCACCAGCACGGACAGAGCCATCGTGGTTGGGTATCGGGACTCGAAGATCTCACAGTCAATTCCTTCAAAGATGGGGTTGTCCTCAGTGCACCTCATGAAGTTCCTCTGTCAGCACAGGAAACCGCTGGTAAATACACGGCAGAGCAGCAGGAAAGGCAGGAGAGAGGAGGAAGAGTCGACTGGTTGGGGGGCACATGATGAACTGGGTTGCTGTTAAATATCCCACAGTTCAGAGCAACTGAGCAAAGTGTCTGAAGTGACCCAGCTTCTGCTGTGACTGGGCTTTAGGGTTATGGCTTTGAGACTTCCAAGTGCAGTAAAGAAGGTGTTTCAGCACACACATCTCCATCAAAAATACATTTTCCATTGCACATGCCATTGGACTGGGATGGTATCCACCTTCCCACTACCCTGTTCAGACCTACAGTAATGTGACAAAAGATCCCATTCAATGTGGGATCAGGCACAGGAGCTACTTTCAGGTTCTTTGAATCAAGTTTTCCCCACCATGCTGATGACTGGCAGAAGCAAGGCTGGAAACATGAGCCTGAGGGAGAGAACTTGCTTCTGTTTTAAATTATTGCCTTCTCCACTAGGAATCTGGGAACACTACAACCACCACAGAGGAAAGGTAGAGGAAAACACCCCAACACCTGAATCCACGCCCTTGCCCATCGGTCAACACGTCAGCCTGTTCCCCTCTCGACTCACCAGCTGATGGAAGGAGACCTGTGGTCCCTCGGCGTCATACAGGAACCACCAGGTCGCTGCTCCCACCGTGGCCAGGCCCACGTACACTGCGGCCGAGAGAGACACCCTTACCCCCAGCACCCAAAAGGGATCCCCCGCACCCATGGCACCCCAAGCCCATCCTCAGCTCTGCCCAGGGACTCACCTCCGACGGCCAGGTAGCGGAAGAAGAGCCAGCCACTGATGAGGGGCTCCTTGGGGTTGCGGGGCTGCTTCTCCATGATGTCCAGGTCGGGGGGGTTGAAGCCCAGCGCGGTGGCCGGCAGCCCGTCCGTCACCAGGTTCACCCACAGCAGCTGCACAGGGATGAGGGCCTCGGGCAAGCCCAGGATGGCCGTCAGGAAGATGCTGTGGGGGAAAAGCAGAGATGCCAAATTATCTCTCTTTGCCAAACAAGCTCTGGGCAGCCAGAGAAAGGGTTTGTGTTATGCAAGGGGAGAGTGAGCAGGCACCCTGGATCCAAACCCCCAAACTGAAAATTCACCCAAAGTCCTGCAGGTGAACCTGCAGAGCCCCTGATCAGGAATCTGAAGTCCAGCACTGAATTTTGCAGCTGAAATTTGTTCCTGCTGCTATTAAAATTTGCTTTGCAGTTGAAACCCAACCACTGATGTCTCCATGGCCATATAGGTTCCTGTTCCCAGCACAAACACCCCGCTGAAATGCAAAGGGCAAAGGATGCCCAAGTGATGCTGACATTGCTGAGGATGGTGCTGATTTACTGGGAGGGATGGGTAGGGACAGGGGCGGGGAAAGCTGCCCAGGATCTGATGCAAAGGGCACCAGTGTGATCTGGTGTCAACAAATATCTGCATCTGTCTTAGGCATTGGCATGGGCTTAAATAGGCAATTAATTAACAAAACAGGTCATAGGGGATGGCAGGAATGTAAAATTATAAACCAAAAATCCCCCTGCCCCTGGGGAACAAGACCAGGCACTGCTGCTCTGTTGGGTGTCTCGGGATGCCAATGTGGACACCACACACCAGGATCAAGGGGCACGGACAGGACTGCAGGTCACCTGCCCCAGGGGATGTGTCCCCCCACCACAGCTCCCCCCAGCACGGTGCCTGGCGTGGGGGGCTCTCACCAAACGACCTCCCCGACGTTGGAGGAGATGAGATAGCGGATGAACTGCTTCATGTTGTTGTAGATGGCTCTGCCCTCCTCGACAGCCGACACGATGGTGGAGAAGTTGTCGTCGGAGAGCACCATCTCAGCAGCCGACTTGGCCACGGCTGTGCCTGACCCCATGGCGATGCCAATCTCTGCTTTCTTCAGGGCCGGGGCGTCGTTCACCCCGTCACCTGTCTGCACGAAGCCGTGATTAGCAGGGTGTAAGGGACCGAGCTGGGCAGAGAGGAGGGGAACAGGGTGCTCCCAGGGGGCTCACCATGGCGGTGATCTCGTTGAAGGACTGGAGGTACTCGACGATGCGGGACTTGTGCGCGGGCTCCACACGGGCGAAGCAGCGGGCGTGGCGGCACGCCTGGCGCTGCGCCTCGGGGGACAGCTCGTCGAACTCCCGGCCCGTGTAGGCTTTGCCAGACACATCCTCGGTCTCCGAGAAGATGCCGATCCGGCGGCAGATGGCCACGGCCGTGCCCTTGTTGTCGCCGGTGATCATGATGACGCGGATGCCGGCCTTGCGGCACATCTCAATGGATGAGGTGACCTCCTTGCGGGGAGGGTCCAGCATCCCCACGCAGCCCACGAAGGTCAGGTTGTTCTGGGAGGGGAGGACATATCCCAGACCCGTATTAACCCCACTGTGAAACCACTCTGGGCACGGGGATTTCCCCTGGGAGGAACCTTTCAGGAGGTTTCCTCCCCACAGCCCCATGGATGCATTCTACATCCCCAGTGCAGCAGGATGCTACCATTCCCTCTGCTGCTCCTCACACCTTTTTGTTTCACTCCCCTCCTCCCCGTCCCTCTCCATGGTCCCCAAGCCCCTCTCAGCAGCCACCCCACAGGGATGGATGCCCAGCGAGATGGGGCTGTTATCCTTAGGACCGACCCCCGGGGTTTGCAGGAGAGTTGAGTCATTACACTGCCCACAGAGAAAGTAAAGAGAAAATACTGCTGGGTCAGCTGGAAGTACGTGGGAAAACCTTGGGAATAAGGAAAAAAAGCTCCCGGACAGAGCCCCCGGGGCCGTACCTCGTAGTTGATGAAGGCGGCGGAGTCGTGCAGCTGCATGGTCTCCCTGCGGGCGGGCGAGTCGTGCGTGGCCAGGGCCAGGCACCGCAGCGTGTCGATGCCCATGCCCCAGTCCCGGATCCTGCCCAGGATCTTCTCCCGCACGGGGGCCGTCAGCGGGACCTTGGCAGTGCCCACACGGACGTGGGTGCAGCGCTCGATCACGCTTTCCGGGGCACCCTGGGGAGGACGGAGGGCTTAGGGGCTGGAACGAACCCGGAGGATGAGCATCTCCTGCCAGCACCGCGGGGAGTGCCAGAGGGAGGGGAGGCACCAAGTTCGGGCAAAAGAGGAGGAAGCATCCCCAAAACTCCGGCAGGCACATTCTGGCCCTGCGGCTCAGTGCACTAGATGGCAGCCTCCGACCGAGAGCACCGGGATCACGCCGCGGAGGACGGACCCGCAGCAGGTCATCAAGAGCAGAATCTGCTCTGCAGGGGATCCCCCTGACTCCCATAAAACCTATAGGTCTGTCCGAGATACTCCCACCCCACAGATCCCTCGCAGACCTGGAGGGGATGAGGGCTGTAAATGTCTGATGGAAAAAAGTGTGGGATGCTCAGCAGATGCTTGTAATGCTTTTGTGATTCAGGAAAACATGTCCTTCAGCATCCCAGCATCTCACCCCAGCCCTTCTGACCTTACAAATTACCCTGACATTGCTTTTTAATGTAAAACTTGCAATCCTTCTATTGTGCCTCATAAAAAGCTTGCCCGGGGCTACAGATCTGGTGGCTTTGGAGGGTCCCAGCCTGACCTGGAGGACAGACTTCACCCACCCAGATCATCTCCCACTGGGAACAATAATATACAAATCTTCTCAGAGTCAGCGGGGGGAAATTCCTGCCACATCTCTTCTCTTGGGAAGAAAATGCCCTTTGAAACACTATTTTATTTCTGGTTACAGTGGAAAGCTGTAACCTTTGGGCATTACTGGTATCCAGAGGGTCCAGGCCTTTAATAAAGGCAAGTACCCAAATTCTGCACAGGGGCAGCTCTCCCTGCCCCAGCACCAGCACACTCAGCACATTCTCTACCATCTAAAGCATTTTTACCTCCTTTTTTGCCTATCAAGATGGCAAAGACTCACCTCCTCCCTGACCCCACCAGCCTACCTGCTGGATCCTGGACCCGCAGACAGGTAAGAGGGGGAAGGAACGGCAAAGCATCACTGCTTGTTGCAGTAAGGGCCAAATCCTGCTGGGATGTGCCAAGAGGACACTGTGGGGTGCTGAAGACCTTCTCCCCTACCTTGACAAACATCTTGCTGCCAGTGGAGTTGTTGCCAGGGCCGGTGGGTGTGCAGTACACAGACATGGACTTGCGGTCACGGGAAAACTCGAGGGTGCACTCCTTCCTCATCAGCTGCTTGATCACCTGTGGGGACAGAGCTGGGCTGAGCCAGGACACGACAGGGACATAACAGGGACACCGGTGCTCTCCACCTTGGCTGACAGCCCTGCTGAGCCAGCACAGCACCGCTGATGTGAGGAGAAAGGCAGCCCCAGGAGCCAGGAGGGGATGGGACAGCACGAAAAGGGATTTATTATGACCTGCTCAGACCTATCTGGGGAAGAAATGCCAGAACAGAGAGCAGCTTTGAGCAGCTTTGAGACATTATAAGATCTAACAGCATGATGTCAAAGCTGAGTAAATGCAGATCTGAAATAAAGTGTATTTTCACCGGGAGGACAGGGAAACACTGGAGAGCTGAATAGGGGAATTGCCAGCATGGGATATTTTCACATTAAAAATAGATGTTTCCAAGCGCCACTCAGACAGGCATGGCTTTGGGGAATGGAGTTTGATTCATGCTGGAGGGCAGCTGCTCAGTGCAAACTGGGCACCTAAAGATAACTCCAAACTTCCCCATCTGTGGCTGGAATTCCGGCCGTCACCGAGGGAGTGTCTCCCAGCTGAACAGGGACTGGGCTGAGTTTGAGACTCAGGGATCACCTGTTTCACAGCTTCATGTGGACCCAGGTTGGCCCCCATGGCCCCAGCACCCACCTCCCCAGGCCATGGCACCCTCTGTTCCAAAACCAGCTCTCACCCTGCGAGCCAGGAAATCGCATCCTTGTGCCAGATCCGTCCCTTAGGTCACTGCAAGTGGTTATTCCTCCAACAACAGCCATCCCAAAGCCCTCCTCTCCCTCCTAACCCCCCGTGCCAGAGCTCGCAGGGGCCTCCCCCACTCACCGAATTGCAGGCGTTGGCTCTCTCCACCTTGGAGAGTTTGCTGAGGTCTGTGTTGAAGACGTTCATCTTCTCCACCAGGCATGTCAGGGCTGTTTCAGTGGCTTCCCCCACCTTCTCATAGACCTTTTTGGACTAGAGGATAGGGGGAAAAAAAAGGAGCTTAAGCTTTAGAGCCTGTCCTCCACCTGCTGCTCCAACCGAGCATACTGTCACCCACTGCACCAGAGCACCACCTTGAGATGAGCTGAAGCCAGGGAAGGGAATTCCAAGGGACAAACCTCTGCTGGCTCTGTCCCGAAGCACAGGGAAGAGCATCCCCCCTGCCCCGCCCCTGCCCTGGAGCCCCTGTACCTCATTGTAGTCCAGCGAGGAGTCGTTGCAGAGGGCACAGATGGTGGCCAGCTCCACCAGCCCGTCGTACTGCCCGCACTGCACTGGCTGCTCATCCTTCAGGCTGCAGGCAGAAAACACCCCCCACAGCCTCACATCAGCTCAAATAACCTTCTAATAACACTCAGCTTATCCTATACCCCTTGTAGGGGGATGTGTATCTTATACATCACTCTTGTACAAGTGGGAGAAAGAGCCCCATTAAAGCCCCAGGGTTAGCAATGAACTCTGGGGTTCACACTGTGCTTTATGCAACAGGACACGGCTAAATTGCAAATAAAATATCCCAGGAGGCAAATAAACTCTGGAAGTGGCCCAGAATAAAGGGGGCTGCAGAGGAGTTCAAAGGAGCACTGGACCTGCAAACAGGGGCTGCCAACAGGCTGATGATGAAGGTGATGGGCCAGAAAAGGGGGAAAGAAATTCATATTAATGGCTGCTCCTCAGGGGTTTCCATTTGGTGGGGATCTAGAGAAGCTGTGGAACCAGCAGCAAGCCCTTCTCCTCCCTCCAGCGCTGCTTTGCACTCCTTAGGGAACCCAAGGGAGCATTTAAGAGCAGCAGACAACTTTAACAACTGCACTGCTGTGGCTGCTTCCAAGCCAGTGGTGAACTGTGGCCTTTGTTTCCTAAATAGCAGCTCTTTGCTATGGAAAGGAGCACAAACATCCTGGAAAGGAGCAGCCCCAAACACTCCAGGCAAGCCAGATACTGCTCCTTGCCTGGTGGCAGGAATGGCAGCAGTGGCTTTCAAAGGAAATAAAAAATTATCCCGGTTCCAGGAGAGGTAACTGCAGGTTAGAGCTGTATAAACCCAGCCGGTCATCTGCTTGCTGGAAAAATAATTTGTCAGGCATTTACTAGGATCAGTTTATTCCACTGCTGGTTCCCAATGGAAAGAACATTTTGGAGCCCTTGTTACAGCTCAGGAGCGGAAAACAGGGAGCAGCCAAGAAAATCTGAAAAATCTGTTTGCTGAGGGACAAGAAGCCGCACTGGGCTGTGAGTGGGAAGGGAAAGCCACTGCCTCCTTCCTGGGGGATCCTGCTGGGAAAAACATCAGCAAAGGTGCTGCTGTTTGGGTGCTGTGAGGGATGTAAGCAAACACAAGGTCCAGCATGCAACAGCCCCCTGCCAAGGCCAGGCTGAGGCCAAACAAGCATTTCAGTGCCACCAGCCCTTGGTGGGACCCTCCACTACACCTCAGTGAGCCCTCACACCCCTCTCAATACACAAGACAGGCACAGGGCTGAAGCAAAACTCAAAAGCAACATGATTTGCTGCAGACTAACACAGTGTCCCCGCAGGCAGTCCCCAGAGGAGAGGGGACACTGAAATTCAGAGGTTGGCAGACACAAGTTCAGCCCCTCAATCCTCCTTAATTTTAATTGAAATGCACTGATTGACACCAGCTTATGACCTGGCTCACTTTTTAATGGAGATTCCCAGCCAAGGATCAAATTGGCTCTATAAATATTCATGAAATTAAGTCTGAGGCTGGGATGAATTATATTTTCTCCACAGATGGGCAGAAGGGACCATGGTGAAGAATGTGTCTGGAATCACAGAGCAAAGGGGTGTGGAGAGTGCTTCCACCACCAGCTGAGCTTCTCATCTGCCTCCTTCCCAGACTTTCTCCACACTGGGGAGCATCACCTCCTTTCAAAGGAGGGGGAATAAACAAATACAAGGGCAGAAACCCCCATGTGTGTGATAACACAGCAGGGCAAAGCCCCCGGCTTCCACTCCCTGCCCTGAGCTGCAGCTCTGCAGAGCCCATGTCTCCCCCAGAACACATCCTGCCATCAGCAGGGTCATGCCCTGGGCACAGCAGCCATGGGAGCCATCCCTGCACAGGACACGGGGCTCAGGGAGCACCTTCCTGATGGGGTTTTCAGCCGTTTGCAAGTCCCTTTGCACATTGCCAGTGGTTTCTGGACAAGCTGCCGGCCCTGCACTGTGCTTGGGGTGAGAACAAGAGTTGTTGTTCAACACCGAAAATGTGCAGGCTCCAGAAATTTGGAGAGCCATCATGTACCATGAAGAGCCTCGTTCATCACTATTCCCACATTTGCCATCTTCTCTGGTCCACAAGTGGGCTTGTTTTATCGGGATTGTTAATGAAGGGAGAGCCAAGCACGAGGGAGCCCCTTTGCTGAGCAGTGGGAGGGCACAGGCAGGAGCCAGAGACAAGGGACAGTGAAACAACTGCCCTGGCCCCCATGGACAGTGAAGAGCAGCCAGTCACCTGACCCCTGCAAGCCCAGTGTGGCCAAAAACCAGCGCCCAGTGGGTATTCCCATGGACAGGGTTCAGGAGGGCTGCAAACCACCACAGAAAATCCCCCTTTTTCCCCAGCCATGGCCATAAGCTCGACCCTCCCACCTCCCCCAGCTGTGCTGCCAGCCCAGGGCCACCCTGTGTCACCCATGAAGCAGAGGGGACCCTCACTCACATCTGTCCCTCGGGGGCGTAGGTGGAGCCGGTGATGCTGAACTCGTGCAGGCTGCACTGGTTGCCCTCCACCTTCTCCATGATGAACATCTGCAAGGGAGAGAGGTGGAGACAGAGCATTAGGCAGCAACGTTTTGCTATAACCAACATGCTCAGCCTGGAAACCCACCAGCTGGTGCTGTGCCAGCAATGGTCCCGCTGGCACCAGGCTCAGCCCCCTCCCTGGTCACCCACCACTCTTGGCTGTCCCCAAATCCTTCCAGCTCTCTCCTGCCTTTTTCATGTTTGCCTCCTCCAGCTCTTCTTTTCCATCAGAGAGGAGTGATGCTGAGCCCACTCCTAAGAAGGTGCCTGTGTTTTTCTTGGAGCAGAGAAGGACCTGAGACCAGGTTTCCACTCCTGCCCTGGCTGCCCTGGAAAGCCTCTGTGGAGCAGGATCCCAGCAGTTGTCCCTGCCACCCCTTCCCAGCCAGCTCTCAGCCACCAGTCTTGTGCCTTACTGGGGTCACAGCTCAGCCCAGTGAGCTGTAAAAGTCCTACATGCTCTATTTTTAGTGATTTTTGCCTTTCAAACTCCTTCCAGTTTCTCTCTTGCTGCTATAATGAGAGCAACAACCCCCTCCAAACCTTAAAATACAATGAAAATTCCCCTCTCCCCAAGCTGTCCCAGTTCCCCCTCGTCCCCTCCCACCTTTCAGGGCAGCCTCCCTTGGAAGCAGGAGCAGTGCCCGATCCCAGCCAAGGCAACAGTTCAGCGATGCTCGTTTCTGCTCCTCATTATTTATGACCCACACTGAAGCCAAAAAGTAACATAATAAACAAATAAATCTGTTTTGGCAAAGGCACTGCCCTGGCTGCAGGGAGCAGGCAGGAGGGAGAGTGGCTGCAGGGAATGATGCTCTCCTCGGCTCCAGGAACTTGCTTGGCGGCTCCAGAAAGTGGGTGCAAGGACAGCTGTCCCCCTACACCCTGCCTCAAAATAATTCTTTCTTTCCCTATTTATTTTCCTCTGGTTATTTGAGATGTTCCCCAGGAGAGGGAAGCAGTAGATGCTGGAGGAATCAGGAGGCAAAGCTCAGTGCCAGAGACGCATCAGCTCCTGGTACCACCCACTTCTCTCCCCTCCACACTTCCTCCAGCAACAAACAGAGGTTAATTTGCTGTTATTATTAATTATTGTTAATAATACAAGGACACCTTATCAGTGCAGCTGCATTGGCTGGCGGGTGTGAGCCTTCCCCATGCAGAAGGCACAAGCTTAGGGCCAAGCCAAGCAATAACGGTCACGTTCAGGGAAGCACATTCAAGGCATGTTTAGCACCAGGACATCTCAGTGGGTTTTCTCACCCCCATATTTTACAGGTTTGGGCAAATCAAAAGAGCAGGTTCAAAGCATACATCTCCTGTGGGAATTATTCTGAGCCAAAACCAACCTTCCCAAAGCACAAAACAGCTTCCCAGATATTTGCAGATACCCTCATTGCTGGGGTATGGCCCTCAGCTCCTTTCTCAGAACCCATCCTGGAGGCCCCCTAGCATCCTTGGAAGGTTTTGAAGAAAATCATGAGCCAAAGGGCTGCAGAAGAGATGTCCCAGGTCCTCTGGAGGCACTGGGCTCCTCTGGCAGTGGGTGCAAACACTGAAGTGTGAAGGACCTTGATAAAGAGAGTCTCCTTTGGAGAACCTCCTTGAGATGAGAGACTCCAGATGAGAGAACCCCAGGTGAGGTGGGACACACAGTCTGAGACAACACCAAGAGACCTCTGAAGGCTGAGCATCCTTCATCTCTTTTTGACACATCCAATGCCATCGGCCTTCCAGAGAGCCAAAATCTCCCAACCTCTTCATAAAGTGAATTCCTGCCCTCAGAAACAACAACCAGACTCATTCATTAAAATATCTGAAAGCACCCACCCCAGCCACTGATGGTTTTGCCTGATATGGGGCTGTTTGTTTTCAAATGCTCACAGCCACAAAACAATTATTACATTCACAATAGCGACTTTCTTATTAAAAAAGGGAAAAGGGAAAATAAAAAAACCAAAATCATTCCAAGCCCTTTATTTTTCCATGCCTATTTAAAAAAAGGTGCCGTGTAACCCACAGCAACCAGAGGTTATATCAAATTTCCTGCCTGCTCCCAGCTTGCGTGACTGGCTGAGCGTGGGGGTGGACGGGGCACTGCAAAGGTGTCTGCAGGGTTTCAGTGTGATCAGGGAATCATGGAATGCTTTGGGTTGGAAGGGACCTTAAAGATCATCCAGTTCCACTCCCCTGCCACAGGCAGGGACACCTTCCACTAGCCCAGGTTGCTCCAAGCCCCGTCCAACCTTGCCTTGGGCACTTGCAGGGATGGGGCAGCCACAGCTTCTCTGGGCAACCTGTGCCAGAGCCTCACCACCCTCACAGGGGAGAATTTCTTCTTCATATCTAATCTAAATCTCCCCTCCTTCAGCTTAACACCATTCCCCCTTGTCCTGTCCCTCCAGGCCTTTGTGCAAAGTCCCTCTCCAGATCTCTTGGAGCCCCTTTAGGCACTGAAGGATCCCTAAGGTCTCCCAGACCCTTCCCCTCTTCAGGCTGAACAGCCCCAGCTCTCTCAGCCTGTCAGTGTTCCAGTAGATTTCCAGGCTGAGGAGTGGGCAGCTCTGTGGGCAGTGGAAACAGCCCAGAGGAAATAGCTGTGTCTTAAGCAGTTAAGCGGAGAGGTAATGTTTCCATCACAAAAATAATATAAATAATATTAGGAGCAATAGAAAGAGGTGGGAAAGGTGCGTAGGTGCAGCTCAGCTGGAAGGGCTGCTGACAAATGATGCTCCCAGAGGGGCTGCCTGACCTCTTGCACTGCCACAGCTGCAGCACCCAAGAGGGGGGAACCCATTTAGCAGCACCTCAGGGCTTCCCCCTGCCCTGAACCTTTTAAAACCACACCAGTGATCTGGGGTTTTAATACAATAGAGAGGCCGGAAGGAAAATGTCTCTCCTCATGAAGAGCACACCCTCCCCCAAAAGACTTCCAGTCATCACTTCTTCTCTCCTGTCCCATGGATCCTGCCTGGCCCCAGCGCTGTATCACACAACTGCATGATGCCAGTGTGTATTTGTGGGAAGCAAAGGCCACCTGGGGATGCACCATCCCCAGAGCAGAACATGGCATCAGCTGTGGGCTTGTGGGGAAGGCAAGTGAGAAGGACATCTCCACTACTCTGTCTTTTCTGCACTATCTTTAAAAGAACTGCTCATCAAGAGGCAGACAAGGCAGGATTGCTCTCTGGAATTGTAAGAAGCTGTAATCATCAGTCACTATTCCATCAATCAGCCCATGGATCAGCAGCATTTTCCTGCTTTGCTGGAAGCGGCCCCAGCCATAGCACCGACCAGCAACTGGCACAGCCCCTGGGACCACCAGCCAGGTCTCCCAGTAATTGGTGACTGGTTTAGACAGACAAAACTGCTGAGCCAAGGCACAGTGCCCTGGAGAGTGTAAAGCAAATTGTGCCTGCACAGCTCCTGGGTGGCTGTGCCAGGGATGGGAGTTTGCATGTCCAGGTTCCTCTAAAAGCCTTATGGAAAATAAACCCCCTTCTGCTCGTTCCTCAAAACACCAGCAGCCATCTCAGAGACAGCCAAACAGGAGAATTATTTAAACATGTAAGAGCAGAGCTGAGATGCTTTTCCCCCTGCCAGCTTTGTGGTTATTTAAAGGTTGGGAGAAGGCTGTTCCTGGTTCCTCCACACCCTGGGGTGGGGGAGGTGGTGGTCTCAGAGACCCTCAGTTGACCGTACAGTGAGTGACATGAGCCACAGGTTTAATCTGATTTACTAAGTGGGTTTATGGCTTTGTTACTGCAGTGCTGTAACCTCGGGGGGACTTGAGGCCAGAGCAAAAGCACCAAAATCTTGGCCACCCCAGACAAGGTCCCTTGCATAAAGTACCTCATGCAGGGGGACACCGAGGGGCACAGCTTCACCCCTGCTGACCACCAGAGATCCATGTGTGTCCTGTTGAGCTGGTTCAGACAGCACCCAGGCCATGAGTCCCTGGCACTGAGATACAGCACAACCCTTAAAAAACAGCTGAGGGTTTGAAAACAGACCTGAAGCCTTTCAAGAGTCACTTTAGAGCTCCACAGACCTGATGCCAGCAGTGGCAGGCACCACCCTGCAGCACAGCCTGCAGCCGAGCGGCTGTGCTCACCCAAATTAATGGGCAAGTTCATTAAATCACACTCAATTAACACATTTTCCCAGGTTATTGATGGGCTTTGGTGGCTGTTTCACCCCCTGAGCCGGACACTCAGCCCAGGAGTGTGTCCCGGACACGCCAACAGCCGCCCAGCACAAATATTTACCCATAGCCTCGTCCTGCCCACGTCAGCACGGGAATCCCTGTCCATTAAACATTAACAGCCCTGGCTGCGTGTCCTGGGGCCAGCCTGGATCACAATATCATTCCCTGGGAACCAGGACTCAGCCAAGTGAATAACACAGATATCAGAAAGGGGCTGTGGGGAGGTAGGGTAGAGGGTACATTGAATTTTTTAATTGATTTTTTTTCTTTTTTGCAAAATTGCCAAGTTCATTCTGCAAATAATGACTGACGCCAAAACCCTTGTGTGCCACTGCCCCACTCTGTCCTTCTCCGTGTCTCAGCATCACCAACCCTGCCTCTCCCAACTCTGCCACACTGAGGGGGGTGATGGCACTTCTTCCCAAGTTCAAGGAGCACACCCCCTGGTTTGGGAAGGAATGGTCACTCCTCCCTCTTCTTCTGCAGTCTCCCGAGCTAAAGGGACTCCAAGCACTGGGGTCACCCTTTCCTTGCTTCCCTGAATCACTGGGTCAGAAAATAGGGCTGGTGGGAGCCTCCTCCTCGTGCGAGACATGGGCAGCCTGGTCACTGCCTCGTTCCAGCCCTGTCTCGTTCTAAATCACTTACGGGGCAGAAATACCAGACATTTCCAGTCATTGGAGTTTGTGCTGAGCAAACCAGTGGCCAAAGCCCACGGCCAGCTTGCAGCACTGTCACAGCTTCCCACCAGGCTACCCAAGTGTCAGAGAGGAGGGATGGTGGCCAGGTCCATTTTTCCCACAGCAACACATTTTCCAAGTTTCTCCTATAAAACCGGCACGCCAAGGCCGTGAAAAAAGATTTCCTGACACTTGTGGATTAATGGGAAAACTGAGAAATACTCAGATGGTCCAGGCTTTCCTAACAAGTCACCTCTCCACCCAGTCAGGCACACGGGAGCAAAGCTCTCTGGCAGACCCGGAGCCTTCACTCTCTTCACCAAACCACCCCAAGGCTCCCCCCATCAGAAGTGCTTTTCCTGCATCCAGGCTTTGTAATTTTGCATGGTCGAGGATTTCTCACTAGTTTGCTTAAAAACAGGGGGGGAAAGAGCAAGAGAAGTAGAGGAGACTGACTGTGCTGGCATCTCCAGGAGGTCTGTCTGAACACCATATTCCAGCAGGAGGAAACACTCCATGGAGAGGAACCCCTGAAATAACTCTGCAACACGGCACCTCTACACCGGTGTGCTGACAGAAATCGGGTTTTCTAATTACCACCATACCAAGAGAAGCCCTGATCCTTACTGACCCTGGTCATGCAGCAAGGAACCTCGGGGCTTCCCATAAACCATCTCCCCTGCTCACCTTCCCATTCCTAACATGACACGAGTCAGGTGAGGGCAGCAAAGCCCATCACCCCAGGATGGGGACGGAGCAGCGTAGAGTCCTCGGGGGCTTCAGAGCATCCCCACTGCACCTCCAAACCCCGCAGGGCCCTGGCACTCACCCGGCAGACGGACATCTGGTTGGTGGTGAGGGTGCCGGTCTTGTCGGAGCAGATGACGGAGGTGCAGCCCAGGGTCTCCACCGAGGGCAGGCTCCGGACGATGGCGTTTTTCTTGGCCATGCGGCGCGTGCCCAGTGCCAGGCAGGTGGTGATGACGGCCGGGAGGCCCTCAGGAATGGCGGCCACCGCCAGCGCCACCGAAATCTTGAAGTAGTAGATGGCCCCCCGAAACCAGGAGCCGCCGTGGACGGGGTCGCTGAAGTGGCTGATGTTGATGACCCAGACGGCGATGCACACCAGGAAGATCACCTTGGAGAGCTGCTGGCTGAACTCGTCCAGCTTCTGCTGCAAGGGTGTCTTCTCGGGCTCGGTCTCCACCATCTGGTTTCGGATCTTCCCGATCTCGGTGTACACCCCTGTTGCAATGACGACCCCCACGGCCTTCCCAGCTGCGATGTTGGTGCCCTGGGAGGGAAGGAAGGGCAGAGTGGACATGTGGGAATGAAACCTCTCCGCCTGAGCAGGGAAATGGGTCACTTGATGTGAAAGGAGAACATGAGATCTTGGTTAAGAAAAAAAATGGGACATCCTGGGGTTTTATACAGACCCACTCTGAAGAGCAGGAGATCCCTCCTGAGAGCTCTCACCCCTTGAGGACTTGACTTTTGCCTGAGAAGAGCACGAGCAAGGAGGAAACCCAAACTTTCAATAGCTCCAGGCTCAACTACAAACCTTTTCCTCATCCACCCTACTTGACAGAAAACCTGTTTTAATTGCCTGCAGTATTTAAGGGCATCATGTACCACAGCCCAAATGAAGTTCAAATGAAGCAGGTTCTTATTTTTATGGATTTGGGACTCTTTTAATGAATTCAGGTCCTTCTCATGCATGCACTCCCTTTTACTGCTCAGACATCTCCCGTGTCCATCAGCCTCTTCACCTTGAAAACCACGGGAGAGGTGGGGATGAGTGTGACTTACAGAGAAAAGCATGTTCTTCTTGTCCTGGTTGACAGCCCGGGGGTCTGGGATGGGGTCAGCGTGTTTGATCACCGACACAGACTCCCCTGCAGAGACAAGAGGGGACAGATGGACCATCTGTGTTTCCCCTCCAGCCTCCACTCAACACTGTATAAGCCTGGATCACAACCCCCACAGCATTCCAGAGCAGCACATCATCACCAAACCATCCAAACATCCCTCAGAGGGATGTCCAACCCCACGCGTCGCACAGGAAAGCTCCAGGCTTTGTCTTTTGCGGGAGGGACGCCCGAGCACTGGCTGCATCTCACCTGTGCTGTGGCTTTGAGGGCCTGGAGAGGTCCCAGCAGCATCTAAATCTTGCTCTCCCACCCGTTTCCCACCCCAGCAAAGCACTTATCCCACTATCAGTCCCAAAAGCTGCCTCCAGAAGGATGGCAGAAGGAAGCTGCCCTTGCTCCATCGTGCCCACACGTACCTGTGAGGATGGACTGGTCAACCCGCAGGGTGGTGGAACGGATTTCGATGACCCGGATGTCTGCTGGCACCTTGTCACCAACTGCAAGGGCAAGAGCAGAGCAATCCCATCAGGTGGGACTGGCAGCACCTGCCAGCCCAGGAACAGGGATAGCAAACCCCAAATGGAGACCCACCATGTGCAGGTGCATAGCAGCACCCAGCCTGCAGCAATGAGGCGTCCAGCCTCTGGCAAAGCAGGGTCCTGCCCCAGGATACCTCCTTTCTGCATTTAAAGCTTAATTAAAGCATATTTTTGTCTGTCTGTAATTTATAAGCCTCCCCCAGCCAATCCCAGGCAGAACCTGCCTGCTGCCCAGTGTCGCCTGCTCTGTCACAACCCCATCTCTCCTCTTCCCTGCAAACTACCCCTGCACTCTCATCTTGCCTCTTCCCTGCAAAAAACCCAAAACATCCCCATGTTGGAGCAGCCCAAGCTTCCTAAAATACCAGTTTTAACCCTGTTTCAGAGTTCTCTGGGCTGACTGGAAGCTGTTGACAGTGGAAGATCTTCTGTGTCCAAGACAAACATCCATCCCTGTGTCTCCTGGCACAGCACAGTGGGCACAGGTGAAAGCCTCTCCACCCACTGCCAGCCACTCAACACCACCCTCTGAGGCACAAGTGCTTCCTTAAAAAATCAATTTAAAGCTGTTTTTCCCACTGGGTTTCTTCCTCCTGGCTCTTCCTCCTGCTCTGTTATCGGCTGGACACAACCGTGCTCCGACACTTCGGAAATACTGAGGCTGAGCGAGCCCTGGCTCACAGCCCCTCACACCACTTACACAACACCGCTGGCTTGGCTGCTAACAATCCTCCCAAATCCCAGACTTTAACGAGTGCTTCCTCCTCAGGCTCATAAACCCCCCCCCAGAGCAGCAGGAGGGGACTGGCACTGCTCCACCACCCAGCCAGTTATTCCAGCTGCAGATCCCAGCGCTCCGGGATGCAATGTGCAACATCTGCCACCCGGCCAGACCTGCCCCGCTCCTCCTCACACCGATTTTTGGGGGGCTGAGCTGGGGGGTGCTAAGCACAGGTACCCACAGCCCCCCCAAAATATTCACTTCATGCACAGACTCAGACTTTGCATCTGCTCAAGGGAGCTGGATCATGTTAAAGGGAGAAAACAGCTCCGCTTTTTCCCTGGGAAAGGCAGGAGGGTTTGCGAACATGAGCTAAACCTGCAGAAGAAGACTCTGCAACATCCAGGGACAGCAGAGCCATGGGGGTGGCACCTGCTCCAGGGAAATCACAGCATCCCAGGAGGTGGGCAGATGTCCTGGTATGGACCTGGCACTGCCATTACCAGCTACTGCACACACGCTGATCCCCCAAGCACTGTGAGTGTCCTCCATGCCAAAAAACAAGGGAAAGAGAGGAAAACAGGAGGCAACACTGCATGGCCACAGCCACTGGCATTGCCCAAGCACTGCAGGATCAGGCAGGGCGTGCAGCAACCAACGGAGCTCCCACAGTGATGCCCTGCCTGCACTTTTTGGGAAAGGCAAAAGCTGCCTGCGTTAGGACTCACCTCCACGGCCTTGTTACCGAAGGGCAAAACCCAGCTGGGTTTAAGCAGCCTGCCAACTTCCAAACACCCTCCCCTCCCCACCTTAACACAGTAAGTTTCCTGCTCCCTGCTGCAAAGTTTATTTCATTTGCACATGCAAACAAACAGCAGCCAGTCCCTCCTGCCTGCGCTGTCACACTGTCCCCAGGGTGTCACCTGGATGCCCACCGCACGTTCAAAGCTTTTGCTCCAGGTGTGCTTTCCTATCAGGCACCCAACAGCATCCTCCCCACTTGCCATAAGCTGCTCAACCCACAATTTGCTAATTAATTTGCTAATAATTTGCAAACCCCTCCAGAGAGCTCAGCTCTTTCCCTCCCAGTCACAATGCTGATTGTGCCATTAAAAAGTAGTATTGGGCTGCTGATGGGCAGGCTGTGTGCACTTGATTTGGGGAAAGATGGTAGAATTTAATTAATAATTCATTAATTTAATTGAAGGCCAGGTCAGCAGCTGGAGTGCATTGCTGGAGCTGGTTTGGGAGCACCGCCAGCTTGCCCAGCTGAGGATCTGGCCGGCTCTCCTCTGCTTGATCCTCTCTGCATTATTTTTGTGTTCATCTTCCAGCTGAATCCCAACTGGAAGACATAAATAACAGCGAGCTGGCTGGGTGCAGGAGGGATTGCAGCATGTTTCCACCAGCAGGGCCACGAGGAGGAAAGGAGAGGATTAGTTTTGTGGCTCTAGGGGTTTACGGCATCGGCATCGTTTAAGGAACAAACAAAATGGGATAATTGGAATGCATCCTCCTCAGCTCCGGTGGGGCAGGCAGCACATCCCCAGGAATCCTCTGCTGAATGAACAACCCCGACAGAAGGGCTGGGGTGTAAAATCCAACCAGGGAGGCAAAAGCCCCCTACAGCTGTTCCTCTCTGCTTCTCACCCTCCCTGGATAAGCAGCCCCAGTTCCCAAGGAAGCCTTCCCACACAGCGCTGAACGGCAGAGCACCCAGCTCCAGCCCTTCACCCACGCCTCGGCCAGGGATGTGTGTGGAAGAGCCGCTTCCAGAGAGAGGAAAATTAAAAGTTCTTCCAGTTCTTCCAAAAAATGGGGAAACCCTCCCGAGACACAAAACCTGCGTCAGAAATGTACGCTCTTTTTTTTTTTTTAATCCCTTTTCTTCTGTTCTCCACTGCCCCATGTTCAGGGCGAAGCCTTGACAGACTGATAAGCCTCAGTTTTGGGGCCCGCCCAGCCAGTACCACCTCCACATGTGACCCCGTGCCCTGGGGTGACGGCATGGCACTCTACCTGCCACCTCCACGATGTCCCCGGGGACAATGTCCCGGGCGCGGATCCGCTGCACCCCGCTGCGGTCGGCCCGGATCACCTTCCCCATCTCGGGCTCGTACTCCTTCAAGGCCTCGATGGCACTCTCGGCGTTTCTCTCCTGCAAGCAGAGAGGAGCAGAGCTGGTGGTGGTGGAGTTGCTGGTGCCAGAAGGCTCCTTCCCCACCCAGTGCAAAGACAGGAGCACTCAAACCCCAGCCCCAGGTTTGGAATGCACTTGCACCGAGGATGGGGCAAGGGCTGTGTCTCCTTCAGCTGCTGCAAAATGTTCCCCACTGGCTAAAATCACACCAGATCCTGGACAGTGCATGGTCCTTTGGGCTTGGTTTTCTCATTCCTGGTTTGGGAAGCAGCATATCCCACCCAATTGTATTTTCCCCAGCCAGCAACCCCACCTCAGATCAAGCTGCAGATAAATAAATGGCTTTGAAGTGAATACATACAGGAGAGAAGCATCTCTGGCTGAGGCATTTGCTCATCCCCCAGTGAGGTGAGGGGCAGCAGCCACCATGGCTTTCTGGTGGAGGGGGCAAAAAGCTTTCCTTGGCAAATGCACTTGGCCCTGGCCAGGACACAAGCAGTGTTTGCCTGGATAAGTGCAATACAAGCTTCAAACCGCAAAAGTTGCCAAAGAAAGACTGAAGGAACAAGACAAGAGGCAGCCAACAACTGAGCACCTGTGCAGGGGCAGCATGGCCAACATGAAAACTGAGCCTTTGGCAGATGAGTATCCAATGTCAGGAAGCAACCAGGTCTCTGAATGAAGCGTCTCAGCCACGTGGAGCAGAGAGCTGGGGGTGCCAGGGGGCTGAGCCTTACCTGCCACACGCCCACCACGGCGTTGGCGATCAGGATCATAATGATGACAATGGGCTCCACAAACGCCGTCGTGGTCTCCTCTCCTTCTTCAAACCAGGCCAGGATCTGGTGGCAAGAGGAGGAGCACAGTGGAGTTCAAATAGGACCAACACTTTAAGAATGGAAACAAGAGCCAACCAACGTGTTGTTTGCTGGAGAGAAGACAACCTGGAGGTGGCCAGACCCACAAGGCTTGGGTAAAGTGTGGAACTGCCATATCCCAGTGCTGGTGCTTAACTCAGGTGCCTCCACTCCTCTGCTGGGATAACCTAAGGCATCAAACGAGCTGGAGCAAACAGCCGTGCAGTGCCTGGAGGAGTGTTTGCACCAGCAAAGCATCCATTTTTGTGTAGTGCACCCACGAGGACACCAAGGCCATGAGCAGACGAGTGGGGAGACCAGGCAGCACTGCAGCCCCTCCTGGGCAGAAGGCAAGCAATGCCACCTGAGTAATGGATGCAGCAGGAGCAGCTCTGCAGAGCAGGGACCGACCTCCTGGATTCTACCACCCTGAGCCCCCTCTCCATCCCACAAAGACCTCATACCATAATACAAATGAAGCACACACATAAACATTTCCACTCCATTTAACTGCTCGTGGACCTGTGCTGTCTCAACACAGCAACACCTCTCTGCTCTGCAGGGGCACCGGCACAAGGACCTCTGGCACAGGGCTTCACTCCTGCTTTATCTGCATCCACCTCACTGCATGTTGTTTTGGGAATGTCTTAAACCCCACAAGGGACCAGCCTCCCTCCTTATCTACCCATGAGTCATATCTGAAAGGAGGGAACAGGAGTCTCAGCTTTGCCATCCCACTGCCAAACAGCCTGACTGTGCTCAGAAAATCAGTCATTCTCCAGCAGCTCAGTGGGAAATGTCTCCTCACGCAGAGTTGCTCCCAAAGTAGATTGTGGGCAAAACTGAGCTGACAGCTCAGTCCTGGGGCACTGCAAATCAGGCTCAAATCATCAGCCTGGAACAGCCTTGGGTGAACAGAAAGAAGCCTGGGGAGTTGTTTTATATCACTTTTGGATGGATCAGCACTAGACAAAAATCCTCCAGTCCCCTCTTTAAGCAAACGTAGTGATATTGTCGTTATGCCCGAGAAACCACTGCACTGCTGTTTCATCTCCTTCATCCCACAGGCACCTTCTCCCAATTCCTTTGCTGTTTGGATGCCACCTGGGACTGTAAGTGCCCTGGAAGATGCCCACCTCGAGCCCAGGGTACTTACAAAGGACAGAAAAGCTGCCATCAAAAGGATGCGGACGAGGAGATCTTCGAACTGCTCCAGCACCAACTCCCAGAGGGACTTTCCTGGTGGGAAAACACGAAGCCAAGCACAGTCAGTGCTCAAAAAAACCCCCCAGAAGACAGATAATTTAGACCACTGAGGCCCTAAGACCTATGGGACCCACTCCCTGCTTGCCTCAGGGCTGCTCCAGTGCCCCTTGGCCGTGGGCACTGGTGAGGACATCCAGCACTGCAGTGGGGGGGTTCCCTCTAATATTAAAGGCTTCCATTTCTGGCATTGCCTGGTTTTACTATGTCTGTTTTTAACTACAGAAACCAAATCCTCCTGTGTTTCTACTCACAGCAGTAGCCTCGCCACCACAGAAAAGTTCTGCTGTCAGCTCAGCTTTCTCTGGGATTAAAGCCAGGATTAAAAGACCCCAAAGATTCCCCCTTCCTTGTCCCCAGCACCCTCCACCCACACCCAAGGCACGTCCTCTCACCTCCAGCCCACGACTTACCTTCTTCTGCAGGGAGCTCTGTGGGTTTTCATCAACAGCACAAGGAGTGCAACATAGCAAAAAATGACAAAAATAAAAGATTAATTAATGATTTGGGCTTTGACGAGTAATCTCTCCCCCTATGCCCAGCATTCCACTCAGTACCCCAAAATGCAACTTGTTTTGCACATATTCCCACATCAAGGCAGCTTGTCCTCAAGCTTCTCAGTCCAACACCAAGTAAGCAGCCCTGGAAACATCATTTCCTTGCTGCAAGTGGCTCCAGCAGCATTTATTCCTGCATTCAGCCTGCCTAAAAAAATACTCCTCAGCAGCTGTCCTCTCCAAATCCAGGACACAGAAGTCCAACCATCCCATAAAATGCCCTGCCAGAAACCCAGTACAGCCCCGCTGGGGACCATAACTTTCAGACCACATTTCCTCTTAATCAGCTGCACTTTACAGCCTGCAGTGCTCTAGGAAAGAACTCCAAAGCTGATGCTCAGCTGCTCCAAGCCATCCTCCTGAATCCACCTCGGTGGGTGCAGAGCCTCCATTCACTCTGCTCCCAGGCAAACCCGAGTCCAGCCACCTGCACAACCTGAAAAAACCCCAAGGGCTCCCAAACACCCACCGGTCTCCTCAAGATTCCCACATCCCCATGAGGGACCATTACCTTCACACACCATGTGCCCTGTGGGGTCCCACAGCCACTGGGCAAAGCACAAACCCTGGTATCCACAAGGGAATCACTCCTGCATCCTCACCCGGGCAGCACTGTAAGGTTCTGCTTGCAGGGAGGGCTCAGGAGTGACCCCCCTGGTTTTGGCAGCTGATGGGTGCTTGTGTCCATTTGCACCCACTAGAATCAGGGAATGGTTTGGGTTGGAGGGACCTTAAAGACCATCTCACTCCAACCCCTCTGCCATGGGCAGGGACATCTTCCACTAGCCCAGGTTACGCCAAGCCCCGTCCAACCTGGCCTTGGACACTTCCAGGGATGGGACAGCCCCAGCTTCTCTGGGCAACCTGTGCCAAGGTCTTCCCACCCTCCCAGGGAAGAACTTCTTCCTTAATATCCCATCTAACCCTGCCCTCTGGCAGTGGGAAGCCATTCTCACTTGTCCTGTCACTTCAGGCCCTTGTCTAAAGTCCCTTTCCAGCTCTCTTGGAGCCCTTTAGGTACTCCCTGAAGCCTTCTCTTCTCCAGGCTGAACAGCCCCAAATCCCTCAGCCTAGTTCTGCACCCCACGGGGTGGTAACAGGCAGGTGGCAGTGCTGGTGTAACAGCTGGACTCAATGATCTTGGAGGTCTTTTCTGACCTCAATGATTGTATAATTCCATGATAGAATGGATGTTTCTCCGAACAAGATGTTTCTCCAACTATTTTTGTTTCTGGGAGGGAATAAGGGACCACACGAAGTTCAAGGTGTCCCATCATGGGACAAAACATGGGGCTGTCTCCAAGCACCTCCAGAGGGGAGCCCTGAGCAAGAGCAGGAAGTGAAACCTGCTCGGCTGTTTTCCATCACCTATTTTCATTCAGAGAAATGAAAAAAAAACCAAACCGAACCCACCTTCACTGAACAAACCAGTGAAAACAAGAAGCCTGGACGTGTTTACACTTCAAACTGCACCAGCTCCTCAGTGCTCACAGACACACTCACTAGGAGTTGTTTTAAACCCACGTCCTCCTAGATAAGGCTACCCTGATTCCCTGCTATCCTAAAAAACAGGCTGGGACGTAATGCCTATAATTATTCTTATAGCAAAGATTATATATAATCTTGGAGCAGCTTCAGCGTTTCAAATCACTCTAGAGAGGGTGTCAGAGCAGGGTGGCTCTTGTCCCTCTCCCAGCCAGCTCCTCTCCACCCCCGGCTTCCTCTCCCCAGCCCAGAGAGCCACTGAAATTAAAAGTAGAAGAGATCTGCTGCTGCTATTTCCATCCAGGCTCCACTTTTGAGGGTGCCAAGGTGTGAGGTGAGAGGGCTGGGGGCAGGTGGGTGCCCTGGGGGAGGCGGCTGGGGCTGCCACAGCTCTTGGCCCACCGGGGTGCCCAGGGGTGATTTTCCACCCCGAGCAGCCGCCCAAAAAGCTGTGGGGTCCTCCCAGCGCTTCTCCCACACGGTGTTTGCATGACGAGCGGCAGCGGCGCCTCTTGCAGAGCTGGGACTTTGCATGAGATCTTGATTAAAGCACGAAAACAGGTTTCTGTGAACTCAGGAAACACGTGCGCTGGGGCAGCCAGCCAAGACACCGCCGGGGACAGTGACACCACCGCTGTCACCCCAAATGCAGCAACGCTGCTGCGGGCACCTCCCAAAAAACCCCAGTTTTGTGTACTGTGAGAATCAGGCAGTTCCCTGCCACCAGCAACTCCTTCCACCACCACGTAGCAGCTCAGTGCCCATTTTGCAACAAATACCGAAAGAAATAAGGCAGAAAGTCACAATAAACCCAAATTTTGGGGTTTGAGTCGATCAAAACCCACCAGAAAACAGGAAGGTTTGGGGCTGACGCCTCTCACTTCCAAAGTCTCACTAGAAATAAGAGGGTTTGCTACTCATCAAAACACAAGTTCAGTGTGAGTCAGCCCCGTGGCACCAGGCAGGACAGCAGAGCTGGTGCCATGTCCCATCCGTCCGGGAAACCCACCGCAAGCCGCAGGCAGGGAACCAGCAAAATTCCAAATCTGCAATTCCCTTTGGACAACGTGGCGAGCACAAACAGGCTGAAATGGAAAGTCCTGGCTGGCACCTGAATAGCCCCTTTCTTTGGCCAGTGGCTCAGGGCTCAGCAGAGAGATCCTGCCCTGGGCTCCCTGATACTGCAACACAAATGCAGTGACACCACCAAGGGTAGAAAGTGATGGTGGTTGCTCAGAGCATCCCAAAATCTGCAGTTCCTCTGCTCCTGCTCTTCTGCATCACAGCTCTGGAGAGCAGAGCCAAGAAAGTGGAGATACCCCAACAGGGCAGTAGGTGCCTGGATGTCACAGGCCCATTCCCACCAGCAGAAGAGCATGGTCCCCTCCAGGTTATTGAGGCAGCCCCCGCTCCACCACCCCACAGGGCTTTGCCTTGTGGGGGCACAAAACACAGCTCCAGGGACTGCTGAACACTCGCAACTTGCTCTGAGCTTGTCACATCTTTCCTCACTGTGCCATCACATGGTGCCATTGGCCCATGCTGGGTTGCAAGAGGTCAATACAAGATGCTCTGAGGGCACGCAACCGGCCCGGCCACCCCGGGCAGACGTGGGGCTGGCGTCGGGCTATTTTAGCAGGAGGTTAATCTCCAGCTCCTGCCAACTCAAACAGGGCTGGCAGCCCACGGGCTGGCGCCTGCAACATGGCAGGGCACGGTAATCAGGTGATGAAAAGGTAAATAAACACGGGTGCCACCCACGAGCGAGGTGGCATGAGAGCCCCCGGGCACTGTGACAGCCTCCGTGTCCCCAGGGAGACCCGGCCCCGCTTCCCCAGCCAAAGCAAACACTCAAACTGGGACAGGGTGGCATTGGGGGCGCTTTAAGGAAACGTTTGAGTTTCTCCTGCTGCAACAGGATCAAAAATCCCTGGAGCAGCACAGCCCTACAGCAGACAGTGTTTCTCCATCGCACATTGGGTTATTGCATCCCCCTCTGCTATGGGGGAAACGGAGGCACGAGGTGACGCTCTTCAGGGCCAGTGCACAGCAACGCAAATCCTGATGCGACCCAGAACAGCAAACATCTCACAGGGTGAACACTGAAATACCATTTTCTCCCACCATTTCAGGAGCTTCCTTGGGATAAAATCAGATTTCCCTTACGGGAAACACTTCTGCCCCAAGTGATGTGGGAAGGGTATCGGCACGATGCCCAGTGGGAGGATAATGATGAGCATCACACCCAGGCCAAGCTTTCTGCTCCAAGTAACTCCCTTCAAGCTATATTTCTACGTTGTGAACTCATTTTATTTTTTTTCCTGCCTTTAATTTCTTTTCCCATATGCAAGGAAGGGGAAATGGATGTGCAAAATAAGGGACGCATCCGATTCCCAGACTTTGCTGACAGGCAGGAAGAAGGTAGTGAAAAGAGTAAGAAAAACCCTAAAACAACCGCATCTGGGAGAGCAGCCCCCGCTCCATGACATAAAGCAGGAACCCAGGCAGGGCTGCTCTGGGATCCTTCCACCATCCTGAAAGACACCAGGCAGGATAAACTGTTATTTTAACTGGCTGCCTTTCCCAGGGCCGGCTGCACGGGAAGGATCCCATCCTGGAGGGACGTCTGCTCTCCCTCATCCCCGCTGACAGCCAGCACCACACACCACCAGCGCTCCACAAAACTGCTGGATTGCACCACCAGGACAGGTTTTGCCGGGGTGTTTTAGCACAAACACTCAGCCCAGCACGTGCTCGGTGTAAATCCCACCCAGGGATGGAGGTGTGAGGCTGCTCCTCACCCTGCACGGTGGCACTGGAGCTGCACGAGTGCGAAAACCAGCGTTTGCGAATTAACCCGGGGTGTTTTAGCATCATCTGGGATGATAAATACTCAAAGCCAAATGGTGCTCATGCTCCCTGATGCTCCCAGAGGGCAAAACACAGTTATCTAAGTGCCTGGCTGTGTATGACTTAAATTAACCCACATGGTTTATGTACAGCTCCACGCCTGAGCTTCCTGAACGCCGCTGCACCCCTGGGGCCTGTCCTGCACCTCCTGCCTCACCTGGGCTCCAGCCATACACTGGGGCAGGAGGTGGCTCCACTTGGGAAGAGCAGGACCTTCAGGGTGCAGCTCAAGGGATGTGCTGTGCCTGCTTCAGCTTCTGCCCAAATCTCCCTCAACCCCTGCCCGCCCTGGCACCCCTCTGCCTGCTGGAGCCAAAGCTGCCACGTGTTATTGCACCAAGATGGGGAGCAAACACACCCCAAAGCTGAATTAGCCTTTTACCAAAAAGCCCCATACGTTAAACCCCAGCAGCCAGGCAGCCATCCGGATCCCAGCAGAGTGAGGGACAGCCCCGGGGCACCCCCATGGCAGGGGGGTG